GGGAAAATGACTGCCAATCGCTCCAAAGCTATAATTTATTTTCTTTCACCCTATTCTTTTTCTAAAAGGTTTTCTTATGGCATGACAAAGATGATAGCGTTCTATTTCAGTAAACAGACGAACAACTTGATTGACATTCTGGGATCTCCAAACTCTTGTCCGCTTAATACATGGCTCGCACTGGCGTCACACCGGAGGCCATTGCGGCGACCTGTCTGCTGAGCCAGTACCATCCAGAAGACAATTCCTACGCATGACGCCATCGTTTGTGAATCCCCAAGGCGCCCTGAGCGGCAGACGTGTGCGTCTTGGGCGCAGACTGTCTTCTAGGTGCTTTTGGCTGAGCTTTGTCTTCTAGGTGCTTTTGGCTGAAATGTATGATGCTTTCTGCATCATACATTTCCCACTACCGCATTAAAGAACAAGCAGGAACAGTGGCGTCACTAGGGTCAGCGGCACCCGGGGAGGTAGCCCGCCGCGAACGTTTGTTCAGTCTTCGGGGAGCGGAAGAAGGATTTTCCACCACATCACAAAAACTTGCTTTTGCAGTGGTAAGGAGCACATGGCATGCCTGCTATCGCCAAGTATGTGCTGGTGTATGCCCGAAGGCGGCCGGTTGATCAACCAACGAGGACCCATAGCAGACGTGACCGCGTACACTCAAATAAAATCCGAATAGAAATGTATAAGGAGCTTATAATTTTTAATATATTTATTATGTATCAAAAATACATATAAAGATTTCGGATCAGAAACTCAGTCGAAGGCGAACATAGGAGGTTATCACAGACGACAATGGAGAAACAAAACAAACACAGTAACAACAAAGTTGCAGACGACCTTCCAAATGTCCGGGCATGGCGTAGCAGACGAACCGGTGGTAGTAAGCAACCAAGTGAAGGAAAGAAAGTAAAAACTAAACCAAACAAGGCAAAGCAAAATACGCGAACGTCAAGTAAACACAAGAAGAAAAAAAAGCCAAAAAAACATAAACGCGGGAGGAAGAAAGACCGTGGCGGCGTAGCGTCGCCTCAAACATAAAATGAAAGACTGAAAAATGGTAGGAGGTGCACGACCGTTCAACGAGTGCTTTTGTTTCTTGTAACTCCGCTTTTATTAGTTTCAGTAATAGCGTCAGACTTTCATGTGCACAATCGACTTCTTCCAGAGCATACTGATATCGCAGTAACGTACGTGGTTCGAACTTTCCTTTCGCTTCTTCATCCGGAGACGATCGGGATTAGCCAGCTCGCCTATTCGACGAAACGGTGTCAATACATTCGTGAGAAATTGGAATAGCAACAGCAGAACGAATTGATCGATAAGAACAGTAAAGTTGAAACGTAGCTATGTTCCGATTTTTTTTTTTTTTTTACATTGCCATTTTTTAAGAAACAGGGCGAGGGTACACTCGTGTTTTGCCTGGCTTACGTAAGTTCTTACAGAGTGTTTCCTTCAGGAGAGCCCAAAAATTGCACCCTACAAGCTGTAACATCTTTCCCACGCGAAGGAAATGTCCTTCACTCATGAGGTGGCACCTATTTTTCAACGTTGAAGGTAGCGAATACCCGTAAAATTTTTTTTCATTGGTCACCTCGCACGGAGATAGGCAAAACCAATTGTGGAGAATTCGTCTGCTAGCGGAGACTCCGAGCTCGCCAGGGGCGCTGCGATCACTTTTCGCCCGCGTTCCGCGGGAGTTCATGTTGAAAAACAGCGCGACTGGGACGAGGACACACAGGGATGAAGAGAACACAAGACAAAGCGCTGACTAGCAACTGGTTCGTTATTACAACATAAGGAAGGATCACAATGAAATGAAAAACATGGGATCAAATGTTCGCGCGCTTGCTTGGCGCCTCGTGGAATAAGCCCCTTTCTTCTTTTTTTCTTTTTCATCCGATTGTTGACTTATGTTCTTCTTCTTTCCTCCGGAGCTTGGGTTACCCTGAATCCAAAAACTTCATTTCGCTGGGAGTCATGGTCACCGAAGGTTGGCTCACACATGAACTGTTGCTCTTCATGATGTTGTAGGCTTCTACCATATCTCGACTTGTTTGGTCGTGGTGTTGAAATAATATGGTGGTGTTTTCGAACTGTGGTACGCAACCGCAATCTCTGCGATGCACCGCTAGATGTGAATTAGCGGTGCCTTTCAAGGAGCTGTGGTGCTCTCTTAGTCGGATGTTTAAGCACCGGCCAGTTTGCCCGATATAACAGCGCCCACAGGAGAAGGGAATGCGGTAAACCACGCCTTTGACGCACGACACGAACTTTATTCCATGGTTTACCTTACATGTGTTATTTTCCGATCTTGCTATCCCCTCCCTGCGTGCACGTACCGCGGAACATAATCTACTTAGTTTGTTTTTGGCTGAAAAAACAACGTTCACCTCGTATCTGGACGCGACTTTTTTAAGTCCGTGCGAAATGCGGTGAAGATAAGGAATGACCGAAACTTTCTTTTTTTCTTTTTTAACTGGTTCCTCCAGCATGAAATTGGAACTAAGCTTTACGAGTTTTATTAAACTATCGCATGCTGATGAAATAATTGAGTCTGGGTATCCCGAATCCCTTATCCTTTGAATCTGGGAAGTGAAGCTAACGCCCATTGTGTGAACACATGATTTTGTTAAAGCGGATTTCAAACAGGAATACACTATTCCTCTTTTTACGAGCTTCGAATGCGCTGCTTGGTAGTTTAGCAAACTCTTTGATGTTCTAGGATGATACAACCAGCAAATGTGTTCTATTGTGAATTCAACGAGGAGATCTAAAAACTGAATTCGACTCTCTTTTGGGGTCTCATAAGTAAACCTAAGGCCTTGGCCAAGCTCATGGAATACTTTAAGGACGTAATGTAGTGTTTTTTCGCAACCGGAGGCTTCAACAAATACCAAAAAAATCATCAACATATCGAAAGATCTTAATGGTGTCATTTTCCAATTTTTGAACTAGAGCTCTACCTATTTTCCCGAGGAAAATATCGCTTAGTACAGGCGCTACTCTTGACCCTATACAAACACCTGACTTTTGAACGAACACTTTTTCCTCCCACCCTATAAAAGTAGATTTTAAATACACGGATAATAGTTCAAGGAAATGTTTAACTGTTATTCCGCATTGCGTTCTAAACTTAGTTTCGTTGTTATACTCCAAAATGCACTCTTGAACGCTTACCATGAGGTCATCATGAGGCAAAGAGTAGTATAAGTCTTCTACATCAATGCAGAATGCTGTGCACCCCTCTAGATTGCTGTCTTGTAGAAAATCGATAACCACCTTGGAGTTGGGGATACGTAAAGGGTCAACGATTGAAAGGGAATTTAGGTGTTTCTGTAAATATCCCGAGATTGCGTGTTGCCAAGTGTTGCGTTCCGATACTATGGTGCGGAAAGGGATACCGGGTTTATGGGTTTTAGCGGAGAAAAACACAATTAACGTGAGGTCTTCTCCTTTTTGGGCTGCTGACGCGATTTTGTGTAAGTTGAGTTGAGTGAGAAACTTAATGGTTCTTCTTTTTATCTCAGCTGGACGTTCCGATACCTCTCTAAAATTTTTTTGGATAGCTATGTGAGCTTTCTCGGAGAATGAACCATTCGGTATAACTACAAAACACCCCTCTTTGTCGGATAACATAACATTCAAGTTGTTGGATGAGAGAAAGTTAATCGTCGGATCTAAACTGCGGAATCTTTTGGGGCTACCTTCACTTTTCAGTAGGACGTCTACACATTCGGTGATGCACCTAGGTTTGTCCTCCTCTGGTACATTCCGTGATATGAACCTGGACAAAACCAATTTGTCAACGCGTTTAAGGGTGGGCTCGAAGCAAAACTTCGGTCCTTTTTTCAGGATGTTCTGGTGTTGTTCTGGGACAGGTAGATCGCCCAAGACGACAACGTTACCTTCCATTGGATGAGATTTCTTCTTGGGTGGTAATGTAAGACGAACCTGGTTCCAAAGGAACTCAGTGGCCTGTGCTGTGGTCCTTGACCATCCTGCTGAAAGACGAGAGGCTTGGTGTTAATTTCTCCCTCGAGAGCAGGCGATCCGAAGGCATTCCTTGAAATGGCGGACTTGCTGCCACCATTCAGAGCACAGAACTCGACACAGTCTTCTCGAGTGACCCGGAGATGGTACCAACCATCCGCAGAGGACTTGTAGGTCCGGTGGGCAGGAGGAAGATCTTGCATACCAGGAGGCCGCCCTTGCCTTGCACACGTAGATAGCAATGAGCGATGATAACATGGAAGGGTTGGAAAGACAGTCGTGAGAACATATAAAAGAGCCCTTTGTAGAAGAAATGAAATTGATAAGGATCGATAACTGGGCGAGTTGGTTTCCATGTTTTGATTTCATTTGATTTTGATTTGATTCCATGTTTTTCATTTCATTGTCATCCTTCCTTATGTTGCAATAACGAACCAGTTGCTAGTCAGCGCTTTGTCTTGTGTTCTCTTCATCCCTGTGTGTCCTCGTCCCAGTCGCGCTGTTTTTCAACATGAACTCTCACCAACTCGCCCAGTTATCGATCCTTATCAATTCCGCGGGAGGTTCCAGTATTGGCTTGCATGGTATTTGGTATCGCAATGGTGCTCCCGGGGTGGCCATGTTGGACCCAAGTCGCACGGCGGGAAGTGACCGTCCCTTCTGCAGAAGAACTGGAGGCGTAGATAGCGTGGCTCTGAAGTGGCGTGCTGCGGCGCGCTCGGAGTAGACACGCCGCGCACGCGGCGTCGTCCCGTCATTTGTTTTCTGTTTTTCTCTACGCCCACGGTAGGACATAGGAGCCGACGAAAACGTCATCTATTTGCAAGTCGTAGTTGCGCATTTTCGTCTGGTCCAAGTTGCCCGAATGTGCTGTTCGCGTATCACTTCGCGAGCGTCGCAGACGCGAGCAACACCATCGTCCTCCATGTTGTCTGCTTCCCAGACTTCGGAAACATGTCTTAAAACATCGCTCGCAATATAAAAAAAAAAAAGAAAAGAAAACACGATTATATTGTAAACAGTGACTGCACATAATGTCAACTGGTCAAGGAACTTTCCACTTCGTTCGATTTTAGTGTAGGATGTATATTTCGCAAGCGCAAATCGAGAAACGTGCTCAGCCCAAAACTCGGCGCCTGCAAGGTCGCTCTCCCTCATTATGTTTGGATCCAGCTTGGCGAACGGGACTGCTTCTCCGCCAATAGGAAGTTGGCGGCGCAAGAAGAAAGAACGCGATATTCTGGCTCTGCGAGCAGAGCCGATACAATTACTCTAGGTAGACCGGTAAAGCTGCAGGTCTAAGAGTTGCCCCGAAGGCATTCCGGAGTCGGTCTCCCGAGGTCCTTTTCCGATCTCGCTACAAGTCCGCCACGAAGGTCCTGATCTCTCCCGTGAAGAGTTGGACCGCGGCGAGGGCGCCCTTGGCGTCCGACCTGTCCAGCCGGGGCTCGCTCCTGGGGACAGCGGACCGGTTGCTGGGAGTCCAGCGAAGAGGCTCGAACTTGGAGTTCTTCCAGCGGCTGGCGGTTAGGGACACTTCGCGGAAGTTCTTCATGGTGTAGGTCGACAACAACGCCTGCGAGTTACAGAAGGTTCCGTCTGCTTTCGAAGCGTTTCCAACTTCAAATGTTTCTCATACAGAGTGAAGCAGTGGGAACCGGTACATGTTTTAACGCAATACCGCTATAGAAATGCAGTAGGGGCAGCTGCGCTAAACCCAACGTTCTTTCCGTGTCTTCCCAGCAGCGTATATATATGTTTATAATTGTTTACGCGCAAGGAGGATAGAAGGGTAGGAGAGGGCATGACGTCAACCGCGTAGCCTCTACAAGCCGTGCTCCCTTGACGCCTCGCCTCTTTCTCATTTTCCTCCTTACCCTCCTCACTTATCAGGCCAAGGTGACCACATCACGTGACCGTACCTAGCCTTCGTCTAGCCTTCGATCTGATAAAACCTGCCGGACAGAGCGCGGGCAAGCCTACAAGGAATCCTCCTGCAATCAACCATCCATCTCACACGTGACATGTCACGCGCACCAATTACCGGAGAGATCTACGGTCACGTTGGCCGCAACATCGTTTAAACTTTTTATGACTAGGCTTCACCAATATTGCAACGTGCCCCCTCCTAGTACTTATAACCTCCTTGCTTACGCGCCATTTTGTGTCTGTGGGCTGGATAGATAATGACTAGATATTAAGGGCTGTATACCTTTATAACGGGCGGTAGCTAGCGCCACCTAGCCTAAAAACAACAACAAAAACCTGATTTCCCCTTTCCCCTTCCAAATCTAATGCGTTTCTCATTGGTAGTGAGCATAGATTTGATCCTTCAAGTACTTTAAAACCTTCAGTCGGACCATACACTGATTGGAAGTGTTCCCGGGCCACCCGACTGATGGCGCCGGTGCGCAAAAGTGTTTTCTCGTCGTAAGCGACTAGAAGCGAGCGCAGCGTACGCGAACACGCTGAAACGCCAATGTGTGAACTATGCGGAGAGCAAGTCGTCTGCTTCCTGTGCAGGAGTTGCGATGACGTCAGAACGACGCCGAGCTCTGAATGGCTTTGATTGGAAGGATAGTGGGTAGACCTCAATGCTAGATGCCTTGAGGTCTACCCCAGGGTGTAAGATAGACAGGTGGGGAAACGGCCCATAGAAGCCTACCGCAGCGCCGTGACCGGATTGTGTACTCGTCTGCTTGCGGGTACCCCCGAGTTGCGACAGATGGCGCTGCGGCGAGAAGAAAAAAAGTCGGAATCGGATTTGTATGGAACTTTATGGGAGTGTGCGCAAAATAAACCGAGAGCACGACAGTTCTCCATTTAAAATCCACGAGAAATTATCTCCGTCAGTTTAGCCGGTCGCCACCGGTCGCCCACCCGGAGTGAGAGTTCGCGGTGCTCCACATAGATGGCGCCACAGAAAAAGAAAAAACCGAAGGGGTCACAATCCGGTCGCTCAGTTGGCTCTCGTTTCCCCACCTGTCTATCTTACACCCTGGTCTACCCACACTTTTTTTTTTTTTTTTTTGCAATCAGCCAATAAGAGCTTGGCGTTTTGACATTATCGCAACCCCTGTACGAGGAGCAGACGAACTTGCGTTCCGCCTAGACATAATGCAACAACGCAGGTGTCGCTTCGAACGTTCGCGCTTCTGGCTTCGCTACTCGTTTTTCGGTGTTCTTACCCCTGTGGGCTGACAGTAATACGCTCAGCACTCGTTACGCCCTGTGTTTCTTAAATTGTCAGCGAGTATAGGTTCCACGTCTCGTCGGAACGCACATGTATGGGTATGGTGGCGTTGACCGCGGTGAGCTCGTCCGGAGGAACGGCCGGCTGCATGTGCTCCAGCCGCATGAGCACTCGGCCGGGCGCGTCCTGGTACAGAGTGAGCAGTTGCACGCCCATCGGAAGGTACGTGGCAAGGCCCTTGAACTGCACAGAGGCGGGCAAACAGCTTCACACCCACACTTACTTAAGCAAGAACGCCGCTTATTGCCATGGTCCTTGCATGACCATGGGTACTTCTTACCCAAATATCCATAGCCATGCATAAACTGTCTGTATACGTTAAATACACAGCTCATGGCCGTACATGGCCGTGGACCTATACCGATGGTCACACATTTTTGACGAGAAGTAAAGCGGCAGCAGACTTACTCGAGAAAACATAGTGTTTATTACCGGGATACTCATGGCCATATACAGGACCAGGGATGGGCAAAATACCTAGAAAAAATGTATCGAAATACAAATACAAAATACTTCGGCAAAAATGTATTTGATTAAAAATCCAAATGCACTTTCTAGAAAACTATTTGAATGCAAGACGCAAATACAACGAGAGTTTTTAATCATCTTCAAAACGTTTACAAATATATTTTGTTCTCATGGACTGACATCTTAGACTTAAATTTAAGCCCGAGCAAAAAAAGGCACTGCCCAAATAAAGTGAAGTTTGAAAGGCTCTGCTGAAGCAATAAAGACTTTTCAGAGAACATGTCGTTAATCCGATGTCTAAAAAATTAAATCAGCCAACTAAAAAGTCAATAATTGTACCAAGCCCGTTTATTTCTTGTTCTACTCTTCCTACCTTTCTTTCATGATTATTATGAGCAAAGCACATCACGTTTTATGCTTTTTGCATATGACTCCCACTGCGAAGAGTGCACAACATCGCATTTGGTTGCGAAGAACAGTGCCCCGAATTCTCTTTGGGCAGTGCTTGAAATACTCCAGTTGCGGTATTTATATGTAATCGACAAATACATAAGCCAGTAGGTAATTAACAACTACAAATACTTAAAGTGCTTCAGATACGTACTACGAGTACTTGTATTTGAAAAACCGTTTATCCCTGCATTGGAGGTACGCGCCTAGAACCATGGTCACACACCTTGGACTATAAAGAAATCGGTAGCAAACTTGCGCGAGGGGAAAATAGTGGGTCTGGATCCACTATGTGTGGACGCTGAGGATTCACGCAAAGTAGCATACCTAACCGTCACAATGTCAGGATCGCTTTCCTGCGACCGAGTTATTATTTTTTTTTAAATTTTATTTATCTCAGTTATCGAGTATTTAAGGCGGTGGAGCATCCAACAAAAACCGCGATTCAGGTACCGTGCGCAATTTATTGCGTGTGCATATACGGTTTATCCGCATGCGAAAGCTGCACTTGGTGCATATTGCTTGCAAACTTGTGGCTCGGAAACAAAAACAAAAAAATCTTGAAGATGTCGCTAAGATTTCCAGCACCCTATTCTCAGGGTGTTTGTGGCAGCACTCTAGAACCATAATTAAACTGCTCATACATTATACAAAAAAACACGGTATTCGCTACACACATGATGACAAAAGTATTTGCGGGCACGTTACAAGCAATTTCGGAGTAAGTTTGGTTCATGATGTGAACGCTTCGATCATGTCTAAAAAGCTTTTGAATGACAAAGTGATTGGATCGTCATACAAGGTAGAAACAAGCCTCGCGCAGTACATCCAAACTGTCCTTTGTCCGATGTATTAGCATTTTGGCTGCAGCTTAAGCGACCCTTAGGCGTCGTTCGAGGACTCCTTTGAATCTTCACTCGCCCTTATGGTGAAACGGGGTATCCATCGTAGTCTGCGGACGCCATTCTTCCAGCGTGTTGAAGAACAGCCTCCCTTTTTTTTGCCAACCTCAGCTAGGGACCATACCTCGGCACGCCTCACTCATGAGGGCCCTCACTCGCCCTCTCGCACCCTCATTTTCACAGGTGTCGTGAGGGTCAGTGAGTTTCTGAACCAAGGAAATGCATGAGTGTGAAGGTGAGTGAAGACCTTGATGTCGTGAGGTGTGTGAGGGCCGTTAGGGCTGTGAGGGCCATGAGGGCTGTGAGGATCGTGAGTGCGTGAGGGGTATGAGTGCGTGAGGGCCGTGAGTGCGTGAGGGCTGTGAGTGCGTGAGGGCCGTGAGGACGGTGAGAGCGTGAGGGGCGTGAGGGCCATGAGCACGTGAGGGGCGTGAAAGCGGTGAGTGCGTGAGGGACGTGAAGGCCGTGAGTGCGTAAGGGCCATGAGGGCGGTGAGTGCGTAAGTGGTATGAGGGCCATGAGTGCGTGAAGGGCATACCTCGGCAAAAATCACTCATGAGGTCCCTCACTCGCCCTCACGTACCCTCATCTCCACAGGTGAGGTGAGGGTGAGTGAGTTTCTGAATCAAGAACATTCATGAGTCTGAGGGTGAGTGAGGACCGTGAGGTCGTGAGGGGTGGGAGGGCCATGAGGGCTTTGAGGACAGTGAGTGCGTGAGGGGTATGACTGCGTGAGAGTGGTGAGTGCTGAGGGGCGTGAGGGCCATGAGTGCGTGAGGGGCGTGAGGGCGGTGAGTGCGTGAGGGGCGTGAGGGCCATGAGTACGTGAGGGGCGTGAGGGCGGTGAGTGCGTGAGGGTGGTGAGTGTGTGAGGGGCGTGAGGGCCATGAGGTCGTGAGAGTCATGAGGGCGGTGAGTGTGTGAGGGGCATGAGGGCCATGAGTGTGAGGGGCCATGAGCGCGTGAGGGGCGTGAGGGCGGTGAGTACGTGAGGGGCGTAAGGGCCATGAGTGCGTGAGGGATGTGAGGGCCGTGAGGTTCAGTGAGGGTGAGTGACGGGCTGAAGGTGAGTGTGACTGTGATGATGAGGGTCAGTGAGGGTGAGTGTAACTGTGAGGGTGAGGGTGAGGGAGGGCCTTAGGTGAGTTTGGCTGTGAGGGTGAGGGCGATTGAGGGTGATCTAAAATGCCGACCTCTGCTAGGGACATATGGAGTTTTCGCACCCTTTGAAAATAGCATGAACGGACAGGCGCAGTTCTCACCCGTCGGGTCTTGACGTCGCTGCTGTATGGCGCGGTGGCATCCGAGAAGCTGAGCACGGGCGCGAGCACGAGCGCGTTCGCCATCGCGCGCACGCGTACTGCAGCCTCCTGGATGGGCGCCAGGTGCAGCAGGTGCCTGCCGCGGATTACCACGCCCTTCTTGTTCAAGCCTCGGTCGTCCAGCGGGTCCTCAAGACCCTTGTTGTCGCTCGCCGTTAGCCTGCGCTGCACCTGCGCGCCCGTACCATGGCCAGTAGAGACGTTTGCAAACAGCAACCTTTCAAACGATAGTCTGGCAACTGTGATTAAAAATGGTTTGGGGGAGACGGGAGAGTCACGATCGCCCCAATTGCGCACGTTCTGCACTGAGCACAGAGATGGTGGTGCTCACAAGAAATTCGGGGAAGGGTGTGCCGATAATTTAGCGTAGCTATACTATATAGTGTCCCTAAGGAACGTGAAGGGAATGCTTGTGCTCATTATTTTTGTTGCGTTCATCTCTTCCCTAGTGTTGTACATAACCGAGCTTTGCTTTTTGTTTGCCCTTATGAAGCCAAAGCCAAAACATCGACTATTCAATAATGAGCTAAGGAAAGCCAAGTAGTCAACTCGTGTGCCTCCAAACAAACTCGTAGCTGTCTGAAGCTAACGTGTTTGGTCATTGTTTTAGTTAGTTATTTGATTATTGTGTATTTATCTTCGAATCGGTACGAGCTCGTTTGCCATATTCTTTTAGCTTTTACACGCTGTTGCATTATGTTGATAACAAAAAAAGAAGCCAGGTGGTGCGTGTGTTTTTTACGGACGCTGTGACTGTGTCGATTATAGGCCTCTTGCAAAGCGTGCAGCTACGTCTGCGCTGCCGAAGGGATCGCTGGGAACATCCTGTATACAACCGGATATAGCAGGCGACGAACGTGATCTTGGAGGCGACGAACAAGACGCTAGCGAAAGGGCAATGCAGGCGACCAACAACGCTACACTCTCACATTATTATCTCTTCCTTCAGTGTCAGATGGTAGATGCCGCGGGAGCAAAGAGGGAGCATAGGGAGCATACACGACATTCCCTCAATCCGTTTCACGCTTCGCGCGTGACCTCTGGGGAATTCGGCGAAAAATCTATTGCGCGACACGTGCATAATAGAGGACGTAACAAGCACCATGAGCTCAAGTTGCCCGGTGCGGTAGCCAGTACCGCCTTGCGGCCTGTCTGGAAGCAGCGTCATCTGAAGACCCGTCGCGTTGTCCCTCAGGTAGAGCCAGGACACGACCGGATAGTAGTTGGCCTCGACGTTCTCAGCGTATCCCTTTGTCGGCGACGGGCCTACTGGTTTCCAAACACCGGTGGAGTTGACGCTGCGGGGTGACACGGACGAACGCCATCTGGTTTTCACCCTGAAGTGGACCTCCTCTCGCATCAACATTCTTTGTAGGGTGTACCCCTCGCGACGAAACGCTCTGATAGCCACATTCTGCAATCGCAGAGTCTTGTGGAGTTCCGTGCTTTAGTCACCCCACGCGGCGTGTAAGATATCGTCTGTTCCTTGAGCACTTCGTGCGACCCGCCAAATGTGCTTACGGGCTCTAGTTTCCCTCCCGACCACAACCAATTACGGTGATCGCTTGGCTGCCTCGTCATTGCCTGTTCCCTGCGCGTTCTCAATGCCGCCCTTTTACTTGTTCGGACGTGCCAAAGACGCGTCGGCGTTCTTATCATCTAATGCCGCAATCTCCGCGGAGATTTCGCGATCTCTGCGGAGATTGCGGAGTAATAACGAGGTGCTCAGTACTCACCACGCTCTGCGTTTCTTACGATGTCTGTGACTCTAAGATCTTGAAAAACATAAGGCGCGGCGGGTTCCTGAGTATCTTGATAGTGAGTTATACTGGTTGCGCATACAAGCGAACACAAGCACTGCGCGTTTGCATTGCGCGTTCTACATTACGTGGTGTGGCGGATGTCAAGCGAAGCAGGCTCTCTTTTCTTTTTCACTCTCCGCGGCGCTATCTCCTTAGTATTTATTTGCTTTTGACCGGGGGGAGTCCTTCAGCTAGTGTCTCTCCCCCTCCATGACAAGAAATCCTGGCCACGGACCTGGTGCAAAGTCAGGGCTTCACCAACATGGTCACCGCCATTTTCAGCGCTTAGGTAGCGCTCCGGTGTCCACTGCGGCGGCGCTGCCGTCGGTACTGCGCATGCGCCGACGCTTACTTTCTTTCGAATTTGGTTTCTGCGCACGCGCCGCACCTCTGAATACGGGTTCGTTTGTAAACTGTCACGTGACATTTCGACATCACGTGACGCTGTGACATGAAGTGACACTGTGGCCTCACATGGCACCATGACGTCACGTGAGCGTAAACTCCCGTAACTAGCGGGAAATTTTTTCGGCTAAATTTAGCGTGAAAAATTGTTTACGTTATTCTACGGCGTCACTTGACACATTAGAGAAAAAAACCGTAACGTCACGACATAACGATGCTGTGGTTTTCCGCTAAGTTAATCGAAAAACTTTTTTTCCAGCCAGATTTAGCCGATTTTTTTTTCCACTAGATTTAACAGGCGACGACGTACGTGCACACACGGTTAACGATATCCCATACCATGTAACGCATGCGCAAAGGCGTTGGTGGAGTATCGGGTATTGTCATCTGAATCATCGAAACGATCTACTAAAGCTCCCTAATAGGCAATTTCGCAAATCGCGTCCGCTGTCACGCAACGCACTCGGCAACCCGCTACGATACTCGAAAATCTGCTGTCAAAGCCGTCGGCGCGCAGGCGCAGTAGTGACTCTTCGATGCGGGGGGGGGGGGGGGGGGGGGGGCTTAGCGGAAGGGGAAACGCGGTCTACGAAAACTCTCTAATAACGTCTATCCCCGTAAAAAAACATCGGATGGACTCACACACGGCGGACGGTCAGCTTTCCGTTGGAGTCGGTGAAGAACACCCCCTCGTTGTCCAGGTTGGACTGAAACCTGGTCACCACATCGTGGCCGCCAGACAGGGTACCATGGGAAGACCTTTGCGGGGCGGAGAAGCCGCCACGAAAAAAACAAAAGGCAAGGAAAGGGCGTTTACTTGCGTCCTCTGTCGGAACTCGCATGAACGTGTGAACTAGACTTCAAAACGGCAGCAGTGCTTTTCAACAGTAAACGGTATCGGAAAAAAAAAGAAGAAAAAGGAACGAAATACGTTACTTGTTGTTTTTTTTTCAAATCAAATTAACGCGTTACAGACCCACGTTACCTCAAAATGAACAGAACGCGTTACTGTTACCGATAAAAAGCCAACGCGCGTTATTCTTGCATTCGTTTTTCATTTAATAATGGAATCATTTTACTATTTTGACGTCACAGCTAGGCATAAGGGCCACGATTCAAGAAACGTTATGTCCATGCAGAATCCTCACATATATACCGTATCTTTGTTACGGTTGCCCCTGAATCCTCCCAATGAAAAACGCGAAAAAACGCGAGCATTCACGACTTATTAGCCCCCCCAAACACGAAAACAAATTGAAGTGTAATTTTTGCATGTCCTGGAAAGAATGTGTAACGAGTAACGTAACTATGTTACCCGTTACTCGAAATAGGTAACGTAAGTGCTTTACCGGAATCACTGTTTTGAAATATAACGAGTATGTTAGTATGTTACCGAAAAAAGGTAACGCCGTTCTTGGTAATGCGTTGCCGCCAACACATACCGCTTTCAATATGGACGTTCTATGCTCTTCTACTGAGCTTCGGTTGCAAGCAGTGTGCAAAACTGAAAACAGATCCATTTTGAATCGCTTGGTGTTTTAGTCATTGCGTTCACTGATTTTACCTGTGCCGATGCTTTTTACAATAAATAAATAAATAAATAAAGGTCATGTACCTCGAAAAATTATCTTTCATGAAAAGATATTGCCGAGATCTACAAAGCACTTGGGCAAGTTGTAACCTTCTTTATGATTGCATTTTCACGTTGTTCTAACGCGAGCCATGAAGGGCATAAGATATGTTCCGGTTCCCGTGGAACGAAGAATGGAAGCAGTGACGGGTCATCGTCGTTAAGTGAGTGACGGAGCACAGTAACCTGTGGCAGCCAAGCGTCGGTGCCTGTTTATACGCGGCCCATTTTGTTCTACGTCAGCGCAACGTGTTTTCTCTTTCTTCGGGTTCGGGGCCGCGCGAAATAACGATTTCTACCAGAGACTCTGGACACCCACTAAAAGGCCTCGATTAATCCGCGAAGGGGTGAACACGGCTTGTCGCATAAGGCGTCCACGAGAACGCGGGATACGATCTCGCAAATATCAGATTGCCCGTGAGATCACAGGCAGTCAGTTCATCGGACAACGTTTTGCTTTAGCGACAGCAGTGGCTCTGGGATGTATTCCTGTGTGTGGGCTCCACGAGTTATAGCTTGGTCGGTTTTCACGATGCAGAATAATTTAAGAGCACTCATTGAAACTCGGCCCACAGATATCAACCACAGAAATCTGGTCCTCAGCTCGTTATACTATAAACAAACAAAAGCAAGCAGGAAGGGCCTACATCTTGACGGATAATAAAGCGGTCGTACGACCCTGTGTAGTCTATATCAGAATCAGTGCACATTTATGCATGCTTTCTTACTCGAAATAATTAAAAAAAAAGAAATAGAAAACAGAAGAAAAAAAAAAAGACATTCGCGGGTAGGTACGTGGTGTGGTACACAGAGGACAACTTAGTTGAAGTACAAAAAAAAAAAAAAAAAACACGTGAGTTCTCACGTTATCCGATGTCGTCGAAAGAAACTTTCGTACGGAAGTGACGTTTCGATCGCGCAAGAAAAATAAGCCAAAGCTTCGTAAAAGAGCTTGTTGTTGGGCTAGTTGGCGTTGACTGTATTGAACCATGGTTAAAAGCTCTAAAAACGCACACAAGAAGACCATGGTTCAATACAGCCAAAGCTTCGATCGGGCATTTCAGCTACCGCGTGCCACGGCGTACATTCTCACCTATTTCAGTCGGTGATGTGATGTAACCTAAATATGAAGAAATAAACAAAACCCAATAAAGAATGCTGGCTTAAAAGGAAAACAAAATAGCTAACCTAGCTTGAGTTTTCATGCTAAGATCCGGAAACCGCGCGCGAGGAGAGGTTTTTCGTGGCTGTTCTCTATGCTTCTGCGTACCGATTCCCACTTAACATATCCGTACAAGTAACTTCAGTCGCTCAGAAATTTGCAAGTCCCCCAGCAGCAGAGGGAGGTGGCTCGAATTGATCGGGTTTCAACACCCGCATGCACTTCCATAGCCGCCAGCCATGATGCTGCTGTGTCAGCCGCTAGCTACGAACCGGAAGGAAACAATACCCAGAGTGTAACATTTCGACAAAAACCCCGAGACTGGGACAAAAAGGGACGGACAAACACAAAGTCTCAAACACAGCTGAATTTTATTTGACAACGAAGGGTGCTTATATAGGCGTCAAATCCTACACAAATCAAAAGAGACGAAGGAAAGAGAGGGAGAAACCTTCACAAAACAAAAGAGACGAAAGAAAAAAGAGGGAGAATTGGGAAAACCCGTGCCACAAGCAGTACAACAAAAAACAAGCATTACAAGCATTCGTTGTACTGCTTGTGGCACGGGTTTTCCCAATTCTCCCTTTTTTCTTTCGTCTCTTTTGTTTTGTGAAGGTTTCTCCCTCTCTTTCCTTCGTCTCTTTTGATTTGTGTAGGATTTGACGCCTATATAAGCACCCTTCCTTGTCAAATAAAATTCAGCTGTGTTTGAGACTTTGTGTTTGTCCGTCCCTTTTTGTCCCAGTCTCGGGGTTTTTGTCGAAATGTTTAACCACCACCAGCTCGTTTGCGCCCTTACCTTTTGTTCACCCAGAGTGTTTTGCAGCTGCTGCCAAACGCCGGTCACCTATTGGAGCGAATCCCCATCAAGTAACTAAGGTATAGGTCAGGTCAGTTGACCTCAATGATCGTTAGTGGCTCAATGACAGTTGGTGCCGCCGTGTAACTCTGGCCGATCGCGATCATGGCCAACTTTCTGGGTCATTCCGTAAAATCAAATAAAAAAAGTTTTCAAGGGGACATCAAAATTATAATCGACTTGCGTTCTATGACACCCGGACAATTACAGAACTCGGGAGCATTACGATCTTTTGTCAAGAAAAGCAAAAATTTATAAGTTTGAGAATGTGTCCTATAGGCTTAATGCAAATCCACTGTATCCACTGTAGAGCCGTGAAATAAAAACTAAAGGCGTCGGAAAGATTAATTATTGCTTATCGATATTTTATGACTGTCGTATAAAATATTCCCGGGCAGCATTACGATGTTTCTTGTTCAGTTGTTTTCAAACATCCGGAAGTCGTTGATGTCCAAGAACGTTGGGGATGTGAGTAAACTGTCGTTGGCTCAATGACAGTTAAGCGCGCTAGTGTAACTATAGGGGATTACACGGGCTTACTGGCACCATATGGTGGGACCCAAGGGTGCGATCGCACACAACGCCACTGATTGAGGGATCCTCTGTCGCCGTGTAATTTCGTAGATAAAAGCGGACGCTTCCTTTCATCTCTCCTTCGCAAAAGTTGATGAAGAAGTTGTGGCGATGGCGTTGCTGGCGTTGTCAACAATGCGATCCCCAGGATTTCGTCATCAAGCTTTGCGATTTACGTGGTGAAAATAATTGAATGGGGCTCATACAGTGTTCAGTTAAGTTAATACAGTGGAAACGCGAGCACCGCGTGAACATTCGATTTGGGATCGTGGGAATCAATGCCTTGACATGCGGGTATAGTGATCCGTGCCCATTGCTGCGAGGACGGGAACAGCCGAACCTTAAGGCTGGTTCACAGGGCCCATTTTCGTACGTTACGTTACATTGCGAAAGCTTACGTCTATTTACAACACAGTCACCGGGAGTTCTGTGCTTCGTATTAAGCGTGGCTACCAGTTCAAGGAGATATATCCTGGAGTGCGACATTTGAGACACGAATGTTTCGACGACTAAAGGCTGGTTCACACATCTGCGTTGGTTGCGTTCGCATGAAACCGAAACGACCATAACGACGAAGTCACCGGGACAAGTCTTCGCCATGCACAGCATGGCAAGCGATGCAAGGGGTAGCTTCGCAAAGCAGTCCACGAGTCACGGTTGTTGCGGTGTTTTTGCCGTTACGGTCGTTTCGGTTGCATGTGAACGCAACCGTTGCAGATGTGTGAACCAGGCTTTATGCGTAATGTAAGGAAACATAAGAACGCGGTGCTGTGTGAACAATCCTCCAGGACATTTGATAGATTTTAGGATTTTGACGTTTTTTTTTTTTTTTTTTTTTTTTTTTGTTTCTGGGATTTACGGTGAAGCCAACACTAACAGCTCGGGCATGATGTCTAACCTTGTGATCAGCTGCATGGCCATCACATGGTACGAATTTGTATTGGGGTAGAGCAAAATGTACGACTGGTCCAGTAGCAATTAAGAGCAGTTCCAATCAGTGAGGCAAGATGCTACGGCTGTTTTACTGCTTTGCAGATATGAACGATCTGTACAAAAACACTTGCCCGCCGAAAAGCGAGCTTGCCACGATGAGCGCTAGCTCAGAACGAGCCTTTACTTATCTTCTGAGTAGAACTACAATCTTGATGGTGTGCACAGAAGCCTCGTGGAAGCTCTCACGCTAAGCAGGGGCACTATGTTGCGCTTTTTGGACTCCCGCGGCGACTAGCGAGAAGGCAGTGCCGTCAACAACGCAGCTAACGCAGTTTGGATATTGATTGGTGAAAGTCGCTGATGACGAATATCCGCAGAAGAAAACAAAGAAAAAGTGAGCTTTGGTTTCTTCTGCGGAAATTCGTCATCCGCGACTCTAACCAGTCAACATCCAATCTACGTTTGCCGCGTTGTTGACGTCCCTTCCTTCTCCCTAGTCGCCGTGGGAGTCCGAAAGACGCAACATAGGGCCCCAGGAACGAACTAAACATGGCTGCCAGTGAATGCCACCTTCGGCACCACGACCCGCTTGAGCGAGCAGAAACTCAATAATCTTCGTGTGCGAAGGCCGAAGAGCACTTACAAACTATGGCCTCTAATATATAATATAACAAGCAGAAATCGTCCGCCAAAACGGCTAAAAACAAGCAAAAAAAGAAAAAACAAACACGCCGAATGTGGCAGTACGAACGCGAAACCTCCTTGAAAGCGAGGATAGCATCAAAGCACAAGGTTGCTTGACAATCATCCAACCCGCTGAACGCCCGCTGAGACGCTAGCTGGTCTTAGGTTTCAGAGTGGATCGTGGTTTCAAGGGAGCCTTCATGTGCGCTTTGCTAGGGTGATGCCACCCTTTGTAATACCACTCGCCGACAAACCAGCAGCCATTTTGTTCCTCGGCGATAATCCGTGGAGCTTATAACCCTCCCGGAAACAAGCACCTTATCTCAGAAGTTCGGAGCAGCGTTGTGGAACCCACGGAGGGAGGATTAGCATTGGTTTCCAGTTAGTGTAGTATTTTGGCAGTGATCGTATTTAGTATCCGTAAATCGATATCAGTTATTTTCTTTGGTTCGACTTTTGACAGGAGTCATCCTTTAATGTCTGGGACTCAGCGCATGAGCGGTGTTTTACCGTCCCCAGCGTGTGGCTACGATAAACATTAGCGGCCTATAATAGGCTCCTGATCACGTGGCCGCTCATTCTGGCTGCGACTTGAGTGGGTGAACGGTTCTAGTTTTTATTTAATTTTTTCTGCGACTGTCACTTCGTGAAGAGAGAAAAAAAAAAAGAAACGTGCAGTTCATATGGTAATGTCAAGGAATAATTATAAGCGGTATTTACTGAAAGTACAAAAATTGTGGCATCACCGCTTTAAGGACGTGAAACATTTATCTTGCAAGTTACACAAGCAAAGACGTGTGCTGCACTCACTCCAGGGGCACGGGACCCAGTGTCCAGTCGAACTCCACGTAGTCCTCGCTGACGTAGAGTCGGATCACCTGACTGATCCAGGGGTTGATCCACTGGTGCACCTCGTGGACAAGCGTCGTCTGCGGGACCGATCATGATTCGTGAATTTCAAGCTCCGAATCATGCTTTCGACTTGTTATGGCATGTTTGCCCTCAAGGAAAATGTGCCTCAACAAGTTGAACCTCAACTAGCCGAGCCTGAAGACGTCAAACCTGAATAAGAGCTCAAACAACGTCATTGAAGGACTGGCAATCCTTCAAGGACTGCAAGGTGATCTACAGTTCATGATTAACAATTAGAAAAAGGAAAACACAATTTGGATGCACAGTTGTTTCGCCATCAATTGTGTTTGGCGAGCGGTTCAATAGCTCCTCCTCTTTCATCATCAAGAAAAAAAAAAAGGCTCAATGAATGCATAATGCTTTTCCGTCTTCTCCAAATATTTAAACCGCCGTAAATATGCGGGTACTGCTAGAAAACATCAATATAAATATGAACAAAGCTGTACAATATTGTTTTTTTGAGTTCATTTTAATGGTAAGAGTCGTGCTGCGACCACTTTGCGGATTGACGCACGGTATTCGATCATTTCTTGAACGCGTGTTTTGGTCCTTATTCGTTGGTCCAAAGTTTTCGAGAATGTGGTCAGACTTTCAGTGTCCTGGTACATAGGGCTTAGTACTAACTGACGTCATGACGTATAAAACCCAGGGTCGGCTACAGTCCCTACTGCGATTGTTGTGAATTCCTTTGATTGCGCCCAGCGAACAACATCTAAGCACTGTCAAGTCCTGCTTACTCTTTCCAATGATGCCGTACTATAGTTGTGCAAATGACGGGCGGCACGGCTGTTTCTCTCCCTATCTTCCACTTGCTATAATCTTCGCGTGATCTTGTTGGCAATGAGCCATAGCCAGCTATGCCGTGACAACTATTGAGATGTTTGGTGCTGTGGCGAGCGAACAGTGCAAAGGCACTGTATATGTTCCCACTGAAAGGTCAAAGCTTAACATTATACCTACACGCTCCTTTCGTCATGACTCGTTCTTCGGTGTTCTTATCAGTTGATGTGGCCATTAGTTGTAGAATGTGGATAAAACAGCAGTTTCTGTTTTGCCTACATTGTGTTTATTAGTTCCTGCCGCAATTTTAGTGGTTGCACAACAATAATCAGCTACTCGCGAGTTTCACGCCACGTGTTTCGCAAACTGTCAGGCGTGGTGTTGGCTCAGCCTATCAAGGCATTTCGTGTTGTCTACCGTGCCATGATCTCCAGCGGCCTTCTGAAGGGACTTTTCAGGCGGGAAAACGCGCACAACCACAATGTCTTTCACTGAAATGCATTCGCAAACGCAAAGTAACTTGACTTAATGGCTTAGGAAACCCCATAAAAGCAGTTGTTTCGAGGCGTCGTCTATGTCCAACGCGAGCACTGGTAATGGACTTACTGTGACGACGCGGCAGGAGATGTTGTTCTTGAACTCTACCGCGACAGGACTCTCCGGGCTGAAGAGGTAGTGGCCGTGAGAACTCGTGTAGGCGGCGAAGTTTTGCTGCACCTCGATTCCCTTGCCGTTTTCCCTCCGAACGACGCTCTTCAACAGGCACGTCATCGAGTCCACAGTCACCTGGTACCACTGTGACCACGGTTACACGAGCAGAAATTACGGTCGAATGCGCTCACAGCAAGGATCAACACTCCCTACTAGACGGTTCCAATAATCACCTTCTTCGCTCCTCTGTCTATCGGGCCGTAAAACGCGTTCGTAACATTCGCAGGTACGCTCTTTTACGGAATAGCAGACGCCGCGCACGCGTACGCGGCCCAGTGACTCAGCAGTTTTCGACTGGGTGATAAACGCCGGAAAGGTGTATACAAAATAAATTTATTTGACAGTTTAAACAAGCTAAAATACTACCATAAAGTAACTGGAGTTGCTCGGGGCCACCAAAAGACACCTTTTAAGAGGCACTAACACCCCAAAGGTTGTATTTTTGTTGTTGTCTGAAACGATGCAAGTCGTAGTCATAGACACGCCGAAAAAATACCGCAGCCGAAAAAAAAAAAAAAAAGAAACATTTTTTACGCGCGCTTGTGCCTTTTTATTTTTGGCGTTGTTCTCTCCCTTGTCAGCGGTAGCCGGGTGCTGACGTTTCGCTAATTAATAATATACGATGTTGGTTTGCTGAATTCGATCGTGATCTTCGCGAACTTGCGAAGCGTCACGCGTTGTGGATATACATTACCATAGCCTCCTTTATACTGACAAAGCCTGGCAGATGGCCGCGAGACGCGGCCGCCGAAAGTGAAAAGGTACAGCGGCAGACAAGAGTCATGTAACGGGCGCCCCGCTGCGGCGAGACGCCGAACCACACTTGTCCCGAGCGATAGAATGTCCGCTCGTGCTTCTCGCGTTCCTCGGGCTTTCGCTTCTTTTCTCGTCGGGATTTGAAAACCATGTTTCGGGTTTTTGCCGCTGCAAAAGCTGCGCGCTGAATAACAGACTCCCCGAGAAATGCTCTGTGTATACCAGATCCTCGCGCTCCAAATCTGCGATTGGGCACTCTATGGCTCCGTCATCGAACTGCCAGGCTTTGTGTGCATACAGGAGGCTATGACATTACACATCCTGTCTGAAATCACCGCTTCGCCTGAGGCTAGACAGACAAGCTGGGCTATAGCTAACACTCTCTTCTCATCTCCTCGCTTCTTTCACAGCGGAGCTGTTAAGGGCTAGTTTCTCCAATATTCTGTCCGTCAGCAAAAAAATGATGACACTAAATTCTAGACAGCTACCACCATCTATGAGCAACGGCGGAAACCAGACAACCGGCTTGCCGGTTGTCGGGTTGCCGCCGTCGCTCATAGATGGCGGCAGCCTCTCGAGCCTTTCCATTCTGGCTTGCCGACTTGCGGCCGGCCATTACTTCATTCCCACCATAGTACAGCTTCGCTGGTCTTCCTTCTTCACCAGAATTGAAAGCCTCAAATTTTTTTATTTGTGACGTAATTGTTATGAAATTTAGAAGCTTTATAAGGGACATTTTTATAAAATTTAATAACGGCATTCGTAAAGCATTTTTATAAGAAATTACGGACGCACTACGGAATTTCTTTATGAAATACCGGATATCAGAGTCCAGAGTGATGTCGCCTCGCCTGGCTTTTTATCCTTCCCGGGAAAACATGGCGGCGCTTGACACATGTAACACTGAGGATGATCGGTGAATCGGGAAATCGGACGAAGTTCTCTTCTTTAGGTGCCCGATGACCTCTCAGACTCCGAGAAGGCAACCGTCAAACGGTAAAAACAACTGTGTTTGGTATCTGTGTACCGTAGTTTCGGCTGTGATTCCGCCGGTTGCGGCCTTTTACGCAGAATTGGTGCGACGTGGCCACTCACGTCGCTCACAAAAGTGCACTGCGCGTTCTCTTCGACCTCACACCGTTTTAAAGATATTGACATCACTGAAAGGGCCCTAAGAGAACTTCAAATTCAAAGGTGAACCGTCGTCTTCTCATAGCGATAAGCGGCAGGCACGGAGAAGAGCGGTTGATTTTCTTGACACGGGCGAACGCGACACTTTGGGTCGTGACGGTTTGGAGGCGTGAGAAAAACTCGAGTTGCAGGACGACTCAATCTTTGACGTCACTTCACTGACGCTGATCGCGCGAAAACTTAAAATTCGGCTTTGGGAAATAGTTTTTTTTTTTTTTACTTCACACATACTGACTTCCCAAGTTTAGAATTTTGAAGGGCAATGTCCAGGCATCGTTTTTAATCGTATAGGATAATAGTAATAAAAATATATATATATACTTTTCACCTGTTAGCAGGGTTGTGCAGAAACACTCGCAAAAGTATTTGGAAATACAAATGCTGTAAAATATGGCAAAAACAGCTAAGATACTGATACTGCAATACATCTATAAAAATGTAAGCGATGTGCATCAGAAATACATTTGAAAAATGGAAAAGTATTTGGAAATACAAATACAGAAATACGTTATGATAGGGCGGGCGGAGGGGTACCACGTCGGACTAGTGAACGAAATGTCGCTGGTTTGACCCCCTCCACGAGGGACAAGAGCGAAAGTCTTTTCGGAGGAATATTCAAATTCGCAGATGTCACGTAAACATTTTGGTACCTTTCGTCTCGCCGACGTGTTTTTGCTCAAGGACTGAACGATAAGACATATAAGGCTTTCGCCTGATAATTGTTTTGTAGCTGAGGGTCGACGATTGCGACTTTTTCGGGCGCAAACTGTGATGCGATTCAATAAGACAAGGGTTGCCGAAAGTCATGTGGAGTCGTTCGAGGTCTCGAAGTTATCAGAACTTAGCAAACAATAAGTTAGAACGCATTTACTGGGGGCATTCGCACTGTTCCGAGCGTTTGTACAAGATACTTCTTGTGCAAGCATTTGCTTTGAACTGCAGTGAGGGACTCTGTGGAAAACTAAAACTCGGAGCGTGCCGTTCATTTGTTGAACTTGTCATCCATTTAGCGATTGAAGCAAGCGACGCCGGCACTGTCAATAGTGCTCCAGTACATTTGATGTTTTTTAGTCGGTGTTCTAACGATTATTAGATACCGATTCGATCTCCCAACACCCGGTATATTGATTGCAGCACATCATAAAATACTTGCCGTTGATCACAGCATTCAAGATCAATATTTCTACTTTTGTGTGTTTCTCCCATAGACTTGCGTCTAGCAATGGCCGTTGGTGGCCGCACCGACGGGCTTCCGATCCCAGATCCAGCCTACTGCCAAATACTTTACTAGATCTGCTTTGCACGCTTTGTCCGATCAGTGACTAGTGAGCTGTACGCCCTTACTTTAACTTCCAGGATGAGAAAAGAAGGGAGGTTTTTTAGTTGTCCCGCCCCTCCAGCACGCGCTTTTTGTCTTTACTAATACCTTGGCACCTTGTGAGCTTCGAGCGTGCTCACATAGCCAAAGCACTACGGAAGGCACCGAGCGCGTTCTGAAAGTTGGACATCTGAAGGGCACGCTCTGACGTTCTCATTCTGTGAGTGACTGCAGAAACAACCTCGTCCCGACACGCGACAAACCCGCAACTTACACGGTTCTTGAGAACGTAGTCCTTATTCCTCACTTGTCCGATCGGCTGGGAGCCCTGCCTCTGAATCGTCGCCCCTGTGACAGAAAATTACTCTTAGCTCGATCATGCTGACAAAGTCCGGGGAGCGCAGAACGCGTCGTGAACGAGCTGAGCAGACGAATGTTTGTGTGGTGCGATGAGGCCACGTGGCTGTTTTACGGCACACACCTTCTTCCTGTCTCGTGACGTAAACGTGTGACAGGACGTCATGTCCCCACATGACGTCACACTCTTGTGACACCGTGAAGTCACGCGACATCATCGTAACACGATTGACTCATATGACGTCACGCTGACATTGTCATTACGTTTCATAACGATGTCACGACATCGTCATAACGCCGTCATTGAATGTTATCTTGACGTCATGATGACATCACGGTTTTTATTTTTATTTTTGTACGTTTTCGAGGTGGAAATGAAAATCGGGGCGAATGATTTTGAAGTCAATGAGTGCCTGCTGAAGCGCACGCGTTGCGCGTTGAGGTGGCACATATGGCATGGCACGACCTTGTTTTCGACCGCCATATTTGTGGGAAGTAGTGACCTCTATCGGTCGCTGCGGGATAGCGAATGATTGAGCTGGCTCACCGCGGAAGCGCTCCACCAGGAAGGTGGATATTCCGAGCGGAGGGACGGCGGTCAGAAAGATGAGTTCGTGCACGGCGTCGCTCTGTCGCCCCGGCAGGTGGAGCACGGCATGCTGAATAGGGACGATCTGCGACGAAGGAAAGGGTCAGTCCCTAGAGTACGGAGCGCGACACAGTTTGCTCGAAGAAAGACTCGGAAGGACTAGCCGTAAAGGCCACAAGCGCAAACTCCTTGCATTGAGGCCGCGCCTCGGCTGCACGATCGCTCGTGCACCCTGAGCACCAGTGAAAGCTACCGGCTCGCGATTGTATACCTTTTACGGTTAGTCCATGTTTAAACTAAAAAAATTACTTGGGTACGCTTAAGATTCGCCTTTACGAGTGGAACGTGATAGCTAAACATATAAACCACCACTCGTTCCGCAGTCGTGCCAGCCTAAATTCTGGCAAAAAAGGAGGCTGGGCCTCCGACTTGGGTACTTAGTGGGTGACCATCAAACATACGGTCTCCGAGGGCGCTCCATTGTACGCAACCTTCACGGGAACGCGCATCGTCAGAGAGGCAACGGGGCAAGGACACCAGACTCTTGCTGTCCTTCAGCTCGACAGGAGACAAACCTTCGACCGGGTGGCCCATGACTTCCTTCAAGCCACGCTAAGGAGGTGTGGCGTTGGGGAGGTGAGGCTGAACTAGGTGGTTCTATGCTACCGGGATATATCGGCGAGACTCCTCGACGACGGTGAGAACGGACACTCGATACAGATAGGCCGCTCGGTGGGAAAGGGCTGCCCGCTCTCGTCTGTGCTCTTCGCACTTCCGCTGGAGCCCCTCTGCCAGGCCGTCATCCAGGATACGTCCGTATGGGGACTCCGGCTGGGCGACCAGCACGTGAAACTGCTTGGCTACGCCGATTATCTGGCCTTGATATGTGCCTCCAAGACGCAGGTGGAGTCCGCTCTCAGGCATGTCGCGCTTTTCTTTCAAGCGTACCGAGCAGAAATCAACCATCGCAAGTCCATCGGAACCTGAATGGGCGAATGGGCCACGAAGCCAGAAACTTTGGCAGGAATTGCATGGACAACCACAATGGACAGTTATCTGTAGTCCGTTGCAACTCAAGAAGGTAGGGCGAGGGAAAAGAAGGTTGGGGAGAAAGAAGCTGACGGAACGCTGGAGAGGAGAGGAAGAAACCTCCTCCTCTCTACGGCGTTCCGCCTGCTTTCTCGTCCCCGGCCTTCCTTTCCCTCGACCTACCTTCTTGAGTTGTAACGGACTATGAGAGCTCCGACCGGCGAGCGTGGGCCCCCAGTGAAAAAATGGCGTCGCAAGACTAGTGCCATCCTGGGCAAGCTATCTCCATGACTCGGCAGGCGCTTGTCGCTCTTCAATAGAGTGTACGTTTGCAACGCTACGTCCGACCCTGCGATTCTTTGGTGGGCTCAGCCCACTTGCTGTGCTGAGTCAGTTGCCAACCGAATTCACCGGAGCTGGAAGACCTTCATATGGAGATCGTCGATGGAGAGGACGCGGCTCAGCAACCTCTTCTTGAGCCTTGCGGCCGGGGGACTGGGCTACAACTGGGCCTAGTGAACGTGGTTGTGAAGCGCAGTGCTTCCTGCTCTTCCGAGGCAATTGAGACCCCATCTACCGAAGTGCCCTCCACCACCTCGACTACCCGTACCTCCGAACCTGGATGGTCACCACGAAAGGCCGCACCACCACGGCAGCAGGCCTGCGCTTCTACGCATCATAAGTCATGTTTTAATCACTTTCGTTTCGCGTCTGACGTCGCGTTTCACGTGCGCGTTATCGGTTGTTTGAATTTCCCTCGCGAGGTCATGTGACTGTGACGTCATGACCTTATCGACCAATCAGGATTTGCCCATCCCGCCGACGCCGGATTTTCTGCGACTCGAGCTGCTTAACGTTATCGTGTTAAAAATAGACCTCTTTCATAACCCCACCAAGCAGCATTGGGGGTCGCCATTGCTTGGGCACGAAGCGTGTGACTGGATCCGAGTCCAGGCCGAACGCCGACGTCACACTCGTGTCCAGTACATACGCACAGAACGTGCCCAAACAATGGCCGACTCGCATAAGTGACAGCTCCTAGAGGGTGCCTACTTTTGGAAAAGGGTCTATTGTAGGGGAGCGTGGGTTAATTGGGGTTTAGTACAGCATAAAAAAAATCTTTGAAACAATAGTAGGTAGTAATCAGAAATTTGGGGCTACGTACGCTTCCGAAGGCCTGTCTAAACAGGACACAATTTTTTTTAATGGGCAAAATAAAAATAAAAAAATAAAGAAGAGGCACAATGAAAAAAAAAAAAAAAAAGCGAACCACAGAAAAAGGACGGTTTTGTTTCTCGTCTCGTCGCTGTCGTCTCCTTCCTTTTCTCATTTTCGGGAGGTTATGGCGATAGAACAACGGTGGATGCCTTGACGACAATCACCATGCAGAGCGTGTGAGTGGAACACGTTCTACACTACGTCATGAGCACGCTCCAAGGCTCTGACACGCTAGCGGAAAATAACTTTGCGTACGGGAAAGAAAACTTCTCAAAGGCGAACTGGAAGTGGAGAGAAAGCCTCCACTTTCGGTGCATCAAATGCTGTGAACTGCGAGAAACGTCTCATGTTTGGACATCGGGTTAATAGAACAGGTCGGATCTCTGCGTTTTTCTTTTGATCATCCGATGTGAGATTAAGGAGTTTTAGTAGAACTTTTCCGCAGCCCGCTAAGCACCCGCATAGCGCTCCGTATTCCTCGAGAAGACCTTGAACTATGCAGACGAGGCTGGCGGCGTGCATGCGCAGATGCAGCGTTTTTTTTTTTGTTTTTTTTTACGGATACCGTATTGGAGGAGAAAAACGATCTACTACAACTCCCTATTAGGGAGTTTTCGTAGACCGCGTTTCCTCCTCCGCTAAGCTTTCCGCAACGAAGAAGCCGCTACCGCGCCTGCGCGCCGATGCCCTTGACTGTAGAGCTCAGGGTATCGTAGCAAGTTGCGGAGACTGTTGCGGAACGGTGAAAACGATTTACGAAAACTCCCTATTGTCACGGAAAGTCGATCGCAAGGCGACGAAGAACGAGAGAGAATGGGACGAGTATACCTCCGAGGGAACGAAGTGCCTGGCCTCGTCGGTGACCTTGTAGCCACTGTTCGCCACCGGAAACCTGACGACGGTCTTCACGACGCTGCTCCGGGGATTGTACACCGAGACGAAGAACTGCGCGAGACCACACATCAGGTCTTTCTGTTCCGTACTTTTGTGCGCGTCGGACGCCGTGCATGTTACCCAGCAGGGCGTGGAAAGTCCCGAGCACTGGGGGGAATAGGGTGGGGGACGAAACCCACGAATACACGAAGATGAATAGCGTAGGCTACAGGGAACCGGCCCCATTTTTCTATAGAAAGTTTCAAAAAATCACCTATAACCTATTTTTTTTAGTAAGATAACAGATAATTCGAGTAAAGAAACGTCAGTGAAGCGCGCTGTAGCAGGAAAGAAAGACACTATACATTTTTTATTTGGCTCCAGAACTTTGTTCTGGGTCTTTGTGTCATTCATTACCCGCCCAGCACGTCTTTCACAAGCTGAACCAGGATCGACCAGAGAGCTACTTCGGAACCGGCAGGGGTCCGGCCCACCCTTCCCACGTCCCCGCTTGACTGTCTCTGGAAATGCCTGTAGTATTGCTCCAGTTCTGGTTCCTACCTTGCGGGTAGTCCCAAAGTTGATGGGCATTACTGGGATACTAGCTGCGGGTGCTGCCTTCTGCACCGCTAAAGTAATGTTTCAGTTGTTCCCTCATGAGAGCTCTGGCCTGCGCCCTGCCCACTGTAGTGGAGCTGTCTTTGTTTAATGTGTAAGATGGGCTGTTTGGTAAAGTTGTGTTTTCTCTGGGATCTTTGAGTTTTTTTATTCGTTGTTTTGTACACGGAGGTAATTATTGTGTTTTACGTATGTTTAAACAGCCGGAAGTTAGTCAACATCAATCGGCGACTTGCCTCTCAGCCGTTGATGAGAAATTTTGGCAGTGCAGTACAACCACTAGCCTGAGTTTTTTAAGGTGCACCACGCAGAAGTGATACAGGACCTCGCGGCGGTACGATGCTCATCCAGATCAAAACGGGCAAGGATGCGGTAGGGCGCCTTCATGTGCGTTTAGGGTGATAACATCTGACCATTTCATTTCCCCGCTTTTGTTTCTTCTTTGTCCCGGAGCGCATGAAAGTGCGTCTCCCCGGCACGAGCTTTTGGCATTGACAGTGCTGCGGTGGTTCGTTACCGGCTATTTCTTTGTTTCTCGAGAGCGCGTGCTGTCGGCATCGAGCACTACAAAAAATGGCATCACCCTAAGCGGAAGGACATTGAGGCACCTTAAGGTGGGGATTAAACCATTATAATTCATGGGTTCTGCCATAGCCTCCTCTATACTGACAAAGCCTGGCAGATCGAAACGAGACGCGGCGGCCGAAAGCGAAGAGGTAGAGCGGCAGACAACAGATGAGAGAAGAGGCATATAACGGGCGCCCCGCTGCGGCAAGACGCCGAAACGCACTTCTCCCGAGCGATGGAATGTCCGCTCGTGCTCCTCGCGTTCCTCGCGCTATACCACTTCTTTTTTCGTCGGGTTTGAAAACCATCTGTCGGGTATCGCCGCAGCGAAACCTGTGCGCTGAATACCAGGTTCGGGGGGATCGGTGGCCGAGTGGTCTAGCGCACACCAGCTCGGAGCACGTGGAGCGAAAGCTCGCGCTGCAGAACCCAGGGATCCTGGGTTCGAGCCCCACCCCTGCCCGTTTCGATCTGGATGAGCATCGTACCGGCGTGCGGTCGTGTATCACTACTGCGTGATGCACGTTAAAGACCCCAGGCTAGCGGCTGTACCGCACTGGCTAAATTTCTCATCTACAGCTGGGAGACTCGTCACCCCTGTGAGGCAGACCAAGTTCTAGGCTGTATAAACACACACACAACCCAATACCAGGTTCCTTAAGAAGTGATATCTGCAACTAGATCCTCGCGCTCCAAATCTGCGACCGGGCACTCTATGGCTGTACAGAGGACGCTATGGTTCTGCAGCCCGGGCTTGCGCTCCACGCGTTTCGAACTGCTGCGCGTTACCCAAGGAGGTTAGAAGTACTAGGAGGGGGCACGTTGCAATATTGGTGAAGCCTGTTCATAAAAGGTTTAAACGATGCTGTGGCCAACGTGACCGTAGATCTCTCTGGTCTGGCGATTGGTGCGCGTGACATGTCACGTGTGAGATGGATGGTTGATTGTAGGACTCCTTGCAGGCTTGCGCGCGCTCCGTCCGGTAGGTTTTATCAGATCGAATTCTAGACTCTGTGGTGTATTCTAGTACCCCATGGCCAGACGAAGGCTAGGTGCGGTTAGAGTCACTAAATGAGCTGCGCTTAGAGTATCGGCACTCCGTTCCCCGGCATTGTTGTGGGCGCCGCCATTTTGGCTCGTATGCAGAGCAGACGCAACTGCCGATCGTCATGATTCAAAAGTGCGACTTCCTCAGCATTAGATTCGGTGTTAGGAAGCTCATGTAATATTGCTTTGCTCTGTCACGAACTGTTTAAACATTTGTGGAGGGCAAAAAAGCGTTTCCTGAGATTTCAGATAAAGCTTCAGATAACTGGCAACCATGATTTTAAGACACAATATGGCCAAGTGTCGTTACTCTGAAGCGTAGCTTATTTAGTGGCACTAGGTGCGGTCTCATGATGTGGTCACGTTGGCGAAGTAAGTGAGGAGAGTAAGGAGGAAAATGAGAAAGAGGCGAGGCGTCAAGGGAGCATGGCTTGTGAAGGCTACGCGGCTGGCGTCATGCCCTCTCCTACCCTTCTATCCTCCTTGGCGTTACCACACTCGGCCAGCGATCCCCCTAGAGCCACTGAATTAGCTACGCTTAGAGTACCGGCAGTCTGTTCCCCGATATTGTTCTGGGCGTCGCCATCTTGGTGATTGTTCAGAGCAGGCGCAACTGCCGATCGTCATGATACAAAAGTGCGACTGCCTCAGCCTTAGATTCGGCGTTAGAAAGCTAATGTAATATTGCTTTGCTCTGTTGCGAACTGTTTCAACATTTGTGGAGGATGAAAAAGCGCTTCCTGTGATTTCAGATAAGGCTTTAGATTACTGGAAACCATGATTTTAGGCCACATTATGAGTGAGTGTTCTTACTCTGAGGCGTAGCTTATTTAGTGGCACTATAGATCCCCCTATGCGATAATTATAAGCTATTTCTGTGTTTACATACTGGAATGGCTTTAAGTGGCTATTTTTGGCTATTAATACATCTTTTTGAACAGATTGGTTTTACGTAGCTACTAGAGGTGCGAGCGACGGAGCGTGAAGGATCACCTTTTCGTAGCCTTCACTGGCGAAGCACTCGCTCTGGTTCAGGAGGTGGCAGAAGGTCGGGTACAAATTTCGGTTCGTCCCCACCGTGATCAAGGCTTCCACTCCCAGGGCCATAACCTTCTGAAAATAGAATAGTCAGTAGACAACGTTAGCCGCTAGCTGAAGAACAAACATGGCAAGTCTATTTTTTAGAGTGCAGCTCTTAGGCGCCCGTTTCCGGCTTGAGCGGTATCGCCGTCGCCGTCGGCGTAACCGCGGCGTGCATTATGGGAAATGTCCCATAATGCACCGCGCGGGGAGGAGGAGGGAGAAGGAGGGGGAGGAGGAGGGAGGGAGATGAAGGACAGGGAGGAGGAGGAGAGGAAGAGGAAGTACGAGGGGAGGAGGGGTATACCCTCTAGGGTGCCTTAGTGTCCTTCTGTGAATGGTGATGCCACCCTTTGTAGTACCCGATGCCGACAGCACGCGCTCACGGGTAAAGTACAAAGAAATCGACGAAACCAAAATGTCGCCATAGCACAGTCAGCGCCAAAAACGCGTGCAGGGACACGCTCTTTCACGCGCTTCTGAACAAAAAATAAGAATAAAAGTGTGGGACAAAATGGCCAGATGTCTCCACCCTAAGCAAAGCGCACATGAAGGCACCCTAATACCCTCCCCTCAGTACCCTTCGCTCCTCCTCCTCCTCAAGAGCTGCGCTCTAAATCGACGTTACAGGGTGTTTTAAACGTCTCATTTTTTTTAAAGGAATGACGTCTTTTCTTTGCAGTACCAATTCAACGAATATGGACGCTCCAAAGGACAGCTCGAAACTTCGAAGGAGACAGAGGGCGCAACTGTCGACGTACCTCGCACGCTGTGTAAGCCCGGCTGACGATGTCCCCAAAGTCTTTGGCGACGGGCTCGGTGCAGGTACCGCTGTGCACGATACGAAATGAGGACAGCACTGAGTGACGTACATTGTTTGAACACAAATGTTGGGCTCTGTTGCCGGGACGAGGCGCTCGAGGTATAGACGCTTTACACACGCGCCAGAATACTGCCACCATTGCTGACCTTCTCTTGTTTTACCGAGATACCGAGCCACTGAAATTGGTGTGGACGAGCCTCCACAAAGGCCAATGCTGGGGATCAAGGCAGAATAAAATCTAAGATGTCAATAACCTGGCCTGCTATGGTAATAATGAAGTGAAGTAAACGTAATAAGGGGGAACAAAAACTGAAGGTCAGTTATGGCGGCGCCCATGCACAGCTGCTGCAAAGCGTCTATAGCAAAGGTGAACGTGGCAGCAGCTGGTCATCGTGACTAAAAACACGGCAGCGAAAATTCGGGCTTCATAATACTATCCTTAACTTCATTCTAGACAAAGATTGTTCGCTTTTACGGTGAACGGGTCACATACGATACTCGGACTAATAGTAGGTTTCAATATTTATTTTTGTGCAGAACGGATTTGTGGGTTGATGTGACACAAATATAAGGCTTTCTGTCCGATGTCGCTATGGGTGTAGGAAAAAAATAATCGAAACGGACTTACGTGATGGCATCATGATGTTGCGCCATGGCCACAGCTTTATCTGCGCGTAACACAATGTGAAACTTTGTATAATCTCGTCTATTTTTGCAACGTTTAATTTATATTTTTAGTGAGTCAATATTTATGAGGGACAAGGTTAGCTACCAACGCTTTATCGTTATCCACAGGTCCCAACCCTTCCGCGACAAAAATAACGCAAAGACGTGTACTTTTGTCAATCGCCCATTTATTAGTCTTATGGTGACCCAGTAGCTTGCCGGCCATCTAACTTTGACGTCTTTTTTTTTTTTAATTTCACACTTGCTGGATGAAAGGGGTGTTGGATTGGCTCTTCTCTTTATAACTTGCACTAGCTCGCGCCACTAAGCCTAAGAATTAAAGCATGCGATTCCCTAGGATGTGTTGGCAATGTTGCTCACCCAAAAGGTCGATAGCGGTTTCCGTGATGTTGGCCAACACTGTGATCTGCCGGCACGCCTGTCAAGTATAAGAGGACAAAAGTGGGGAAGCTTTGTCCAATCGCATTAACACTTCGCGAGTCCATTATAGGCATTATAGGGCTCATGGTTTAAGTCTGCATTAATTAAAGCAAGCCTTATTACAAACGATGATGGTCACCGATTTATCTGACAAGCGTCGTGTTGCGCTTGTCTAAATTCATTCGCTGTTGTATACTATCTCCTTTCCCACTCATTTTGGTATTATTTGCTAGTGGTAGGCATTAGAACCAAAAAGGCTCGAGGTACACCTAAGCACTTCTTACGAGTTGTGTATGCGAGAGCATGGACGTCAATCTTCCGCTCCCTCATTTCGTCTGCAGCGTATTTGAGTCGACGGCAGAGCGCGCCTCCTCCTCGCCGCTCTTGGCCGCTCTGACCTCGAACGTTTTATGTTACCGGCGCGCTGACGGACACGCAGCGCCATGGGGTGGCGGTCGTTGAAACTGACGCCCAGCGGCCAATGAGAGCCTCGTCAACGCCCGCCAGCCAATGGGACCGAAGCCGAAATCCATCAGCTTTACTCTGCTCCTTTGGGATTGGGGAAACTAGGTGCCGTTCAGCGTGGCTTCAAAGCTGATGACGTCAGCTTGCTTCATGGGACCAGTTAATGCTTTCGCATTAATGCACAGTCGCTGTTTCGCGTACTTACGTAATGTAAATGGTTCTCGCAACCTACTCAAGTGGGAGCAAAGAGCCAGGAGGACCAACCAACGCAAGCCGATGTTTTGAACGTTACCTGGAGAAAATTGGAAGCCCGTCGTATCAAGTACTTGAGCGACGGCCTGGAGGAGTAGAAGCCCGTCCACAGGTCACCTGGCTTGTCCGAATAGGGGAAGAAGTCGCCCCTGTGAACAGGCTCGATCTCGTTGGAGCTGTTCACGAGTGACGTGGCCCACTCGGCGTTCAGGCTCCGTAGAAAACATCCGGGCGTCGAGTAGAACGCGTAGAATCCACTGTCCTTCTGTGTCCCCACAAGCAGGATTATGGGCAACATCTCAGGCGGTACATAGATGTCCTATGCACATTAACAGGGCATCTATCTATGTGGAACGTTAAGACACACAGAGGAAAGACATAACATAAAAAATCAGCGCCAAATAGATGGCACAAATAGTGGGAAAAGCACAGGACAGGCGCTGTCCTGTGCTAATTCGAGTCCGCCCCGATTGTTTTGGGCTGTTTTTTCATTATGCCGATCAATCACCAACTAGCTCGACAATCTACTATTTCACAGTAGAATCATAAGGGCGTTAAGGGACAACGCGTGCTGCCTGGGAGGCGGCGTAAATGTCATATTTACTTCTATATACAGGACTTGTACGGCAAATTATAGGACATTCTGAGAAACACGAGTTTAAAACTCCGAGCGTTGATCGTTTCTGTTTTATGTGTAAGCACGGAGGGATTTAGGGCGGCTTCAGGACATCCCGGCCTCTCTCCGAGGTCAAGCTAAACTCAACCAGACTTCTCATATGCTGGGAATAAAATTCGGACTTCGCTCTTAAATGGAAGGACGATTGACTGAGGTAAAACTTCGCGCAGTACCAAGATGTGATATGACGCGGCAACGTACGAATAATCCCACAAGTGAACCCGGATTTTGTAGCCCGACAACACGGATTAGTTATGAGGGAAAGCAGGTCGTTCTGAGCACGTTCTATGCTTGATTTGTGCCCGCGGAGGTAGTGGATCAGTAAAATATTCCTCGCCTGACGATTGCTTAGAGCTAGAAGAGTTATGCTGGTGTAATTTATTGAGCAACTGCTATGGCCGGCGAACCTAACCAAGCAGGAATGTGCCATTCCTGCTTGGTTAGGTTCGATGAATGTGCCATTAGTTTGAGCTTTTAGTGTGTGCGTCTGTGTCTGTATATGTCTTCTAGTCTTTGACTCCGCTCTTGTGATAAAACGAAGTATATCATAACCCTTCGGAGGTCGTTCGGCGTGGAGGAACAGCTCGCAAGACGTGAGGATGCGCTTACTGTATACGTTTGTGGCAGTTAGTGTGCCTTTATGCTGAGCGACCCCAACGAGGCATCGCATGCGTTCCAGTCGATGGGTGCTCGCTTTCTGTTGTTCTGTCTGACGACTATTCCCTGGTTTGAAAACCCTCTAAGCTGGTTGGCAGGCGAAGATGCAGCATTATCGAGGGAGAAGGGCACGAGAAGACAGTGCATAAAGGTCTTCACACTATAGTTGTCCACTTTTTGTTTATCTTAAGATTGCTGCAAACGGCGTGCCTCCGACAGAATGTTATGGTCGTAGGTCCCTTTGCCCAATTATCTGTCGTGAGAATGCCGCTAAGCGCATCTCTTACATGATTAATTTCGTTGTTCAGGCGGCGTTCAACAACGCCTGCAGTGAACCATAAAAAAGAGATACTGAAACCGTATTTCAAAATAAGATCCGTGGGAGAAAAACAGCAAAAACAAAAACTGGGTGGCTCTCGCTCTACTTTGACAAGGACACGAAGGACCGTCATAATGGTACTTACTTCGGAATTAATGATGTCCATGAGGCTGTCCATCTGACTGTACCAGCGCGTCGCGTTGTAAAACGCAAAGTCGCCTCCAAACATCACAATTTTTTGGTTGGTCCGGAATCCGTCCTGCATGCGCGTGTTGGCCGAATAAGCGTAAGTTTTTTGATCCTTTCGGTCCGCATCTATAACACTCTACAAGAACCCTGCCAAGGGAAAATACCCTAGGAGACAACAATCTCCACATTGCGATCGCGCATAAATTTTTCGTAAAGGTAGCGACACTGTCTAGATCTTAATAAACAACTAAGTGACAAACTCAACATAGACGCAACAGAAGATGGTAAATCATGATGTTTCAAACGCGAGGCTGTGGTGAGGGAAAAAAAAACTTTGAAGTTTAAGAACGAGGTTATGTCTGTCGACATTTCACAACGATAGCTGTCACGGCCTCTTCTCAGCACCCCAACACCGGAAATGACGTCCGAAGTAGTTTGTTTATGTCGTGGATGGCGATGTAGGGCGTCCGTCGCCGATGTCGCAAACATCCTGGGTACACTGTAATCCTGGGAAAAGATTGCCAGCCACACGCGCGAACCGAATCTGGGTCTGTAAAGGCCTGTTCACACATGCAGCGGAGCGCCACAGGCACAGCGCTGACCTCGCGCTAAGCGCGTGCTGACAGAAGCGTTCACCAGCTTTGTATCGCACAGTGAAAACTGTTGCTCACGGCAGACGATAAGTAGCTGACGGCACGTGAGCAGCGCTACATCAGCGCTTCGCTGCATGTGAGAACCGGCCTTTACAGCGCAAACATGTTTATGCTAAAGAAAGTAGTAGTTCAGCAGCATGGACACTGCAATAGCGTCTGGTTTGACGTCAGTGAATTCACTTTTTCGGCTACCCAGCCGATATTGTTTTAGGAATATTGGGGGATGCAGATGATAAAGCTATAGAGCCCCCAAAAGACCAAGTCACTGTAAGTGGGTATTTTGAAAGCTGCATACGTTGTCCCTGTGAGTATTTAAATCACACCTTCCCCACCAAAAATAATCACCAAACTATATTCATTTACAGCTTGTCTATATTTCGTTGCTTTCTACGTTAAATTGTTTTGTACTTGAATCAAGGAATCACCGAGCAAGAAAGTTGTAATGTCAGGTTGAACACGAGGACAAAGCAGTAGCCTTGTGAGCAAATCGGAACGTTGTTTTTTTTTTTTGTTTTTTCTTTCTATTCTTCACTTTGTTCGTCAGTTACGTCACGTCTTATTGAAAGTAAATTAGAATGGGAAAGAAGGGAAAAAAAACTAAAAAAGTAATGACCTAGTGAAAAAGAATCAGAACGCGAAAGAGGAAGCAAAGGGAGATTTTCACTAATCAAAACAAATGAAGCTATTTTTGCAGAAGAACGCCTGGTCTACTCAGTGAAAAGTTGTTAATTAAACTGTACGTTAAATTTACAGTAATTATTTTCTCTGAAATGTTTTAGTGACCGGACGGATTTATGGGTATATCTCTACTGATTAGCAATCACTACGGTATTGATACAGTTATTTAAATAGAATTAATCTTACAGATCGAATAAATTTGACTTAATCAAATAAGTCTGCTTTACTATTTTTTTTCTCAGTAATATCTCGATTTTTTTAACCCTGGTTTTATTTTAACGTACGATGAGAAATAAACAATGTTGCCGTTATAAAATTCTCTTTTTTTGCGCATGTGTGTGATTGCTTACTTAGGATCGCTTGTTTTAAAACTTGATATACACAAAGATTAGTTTGGAATTCTGACGACTCTTACCGAACGAGTGATGTTCAGCACAAGTGGCGTAAAGTCTTTCAGCTGCTCTTTCTAGAGAAGAAAAAAACAACCCAATCAAATTGCTGTCAAAGTTTTTGGTCGGGGGACACACTCGAGATAGAACAGTTTCGATTGGCCTTCTTATATAGACCAACGCACTGTTGCTATATAGACCAACACACATGCGCGTGCACAGTGTTGGCAGCATCGCCGCCGCAGTTGCGTTACGTCATTACGTTCCTGCTTCGTGATAGGTCCTTGGGCGGTTTTTATCGGCTAATGCCGCAATTTCATTGGATGCGGAGCGGTAATGAGATGCTCGAATTTCGCCACGCCCTGAGCATAATACTATAACGGACGTTCTTGTTTTTTTACTAACAACGATAGTTATAAAAAAGCAACAAAAACACGCACGCAAATCTGGCGTTATTCGAGGCTTTCTAATGGGTTCGATTGTTTGAACAGAAACGAGAATTCGCACTTGCATGCAAAAGACAACGTGTCCCAACCTCCCCCGCCCCCCCCCCCCCCCCCCCCACGCCCCCACCCCCCACCCTTACCCCTCCAAAAAAAAACTTAGGCTTTTTTTTTATATTTTATATTGAAAAATAAATTATGTATTGCCGAACGCCCATTGTCCGCCCAAATGTGGCGCTAGCGGCGGCTGTTCGAACCGGACGCCAAAGTTATAGAACTATAACCATTGACTAAAAAAAGAAAAGTTATAAGTGATGTTTTTTTAGTTTTCAATAGGAAAAATGGGGGGGGGGGGGGGGGGGCGTGTCCACCCCGCTATCGGTAACTGGCACCATTCAGGCTCCCCATGTATTCCAGAGTTCCGTCGGTCGCCATTTTTCCATTAAACGTTGCAGAAAATCACTTATTACTTGTTATAAATAAGATAACGGCTCGTGCTGAAGCTCAGCCAGCTGATTCGGACCGCTTGCGCTGCATTTGGGTGGAGCATAAACGTTCCTCAAAAGATGCCAAAAAAAAAGTTTCTTTTTTTGTTTGGGGGGGGGGGGGGGGGGGGGGAAGACATTGTGTACATGTTTTTTTTTAATGACAGAGTCACCGACAGCGTACGAAACGCAGAGTGTGGCGAATCCTGTCCATCTCATTAAGGCTCCGCGCAGCCAATGAGATTGCAGTATTCGCAGGTAAGTACGCCCAACAACCCATCACGACGCAAGGAGCCTGATTAACGTAAGAGCTGCCACGCTCCGGTTCCGGTGACATCAAAGCGACGCCGAGCCCTGGTTGGCTCGGATTGGAAGGACCTCGAGGCATCTAGCATTGAGGTTTACCCACTATCCTCTCAATCCCAGCCAATCAGAGCTCGTCATCGCTCTGACGTCACGAAAACCCCTGCGCGAGAAGCAGACGAACTTGCCCACCGTACAGTCCTCCACTTGGACGGGAAGGGCAGATCCAACAGGCCACGAAATGACTCTGCAGAAGTGTCACACGCTACGCGGCGTTCTTTTTAGAGCGCAGCTCTTAGGCGGCCGTTTCCGGCTTGAGCGGCGTCGGCGTAACCAAGGTCACTCCAAGGTCACGTGACCCCCAAGGTCACGAGACCCCCCGAGGTCACGTGACCCCTCCCAAGGTCATCCCAAGGTCACGTGACCCCACAAGGTCACCTCAAGGTCACGTGACCCTCCAAGGTCACGTGCCCCCTCCCCGAAGTCACGTGACACCCCCCGAGGTCACGTGACCCCCTCCCCCCGAGGTCAGGTGACCCCCCCTGAACATATTAAAGAATGAGGGGAGGATGGGGAGAAGGAGGAGGAGGAGGGGTCCACCCTCCCCTCAGTACTCCTCCCTTCTCCTCCTCAAAAGCTGCGCTCCGATTCGGCGTTACAGGCAGTTGTAAACGGATTTCACTTTTTTTTTTCTTTGAAATATTGATAAATATTGCGTCTATGCCGGCAATATCTCAACTGATTCGTTTACACCGGCTGTTATTAAAAGGGAAATCTAATCTGATATCGATATGCATTCACTGATTAATAAATAACTGCGAGTGCTGGTCCCTATATGCCTCGTTTATGCGTAGAAGCGAAAACGACTGTTCGTGAGCCTTTTCGCGAGTTTTGGACGCGTTTATGTGTTCCGACATGAATTCATTAAAATTACGTTGTTGAGTGTCTAAAGATATAAACGAATACAAATTTCGCGGAAAAGAAAGCTGCACGTCACTGGTCATCCCACAGGTCCTCCATGACGTGATGGCGTCCTCTCACGTGACAGTGTGACTCAATATTGTCACGTGACCATCGGGAAAGCAAGTAACCACGAGATATGAAAGCAAGTAACCACGAGGTGTGAAAACCACGAGATACGAAAGCTCCGTGGGCCGGTTATAGGCATTTAATAAATTGACGTGAAACGCAAATAAAATAAACACAAAACACAAACACCTGAACGTATATTCTCGCGACGACTGCAAAAACAGCGAAAACTCACCGTGAGGAACGGACCCGTGAAATCGAGACTGACGGGTGCTGAGTACTCATGCGGGAGCACCGCCGTGAAGATGTCCTGCTCTGAAACGGAGGCGCAAATGAACCACTGAACGGCACCTCGTGTTGTATTTTGTGTGTGTGTTGCTTTCAGAGTCTGCATGTGCATTCGTTCCGTCTTGTGCTTGTGTTTCTCTGAACAAACGGTCTCCCCTCGAGTGCTCCGGAAATTTATGACCCAGAGGGGACATTCCACCGAGCCACCCGCGAACGCGAACAGGCAGGCGACCACGGACCCTGTGTAAACAGCGCCAGCTGCGCCTCGGAGGGGCAGCTTCTGGTCACTCGACACCGTGTACCCTCTTTCCCCTTCTCGCGAGTCTTTCTTCCCGTAACGTTGTTCTGAAATAAACGGTTCTTCTTGATAGTTGAACAGGTTCGCTTCGTGTCTGTCTCTCTAGAACAGCGGCTGGCTGATTCTGAACCACCGTGTTATGAAGTTAGCCGGCATTTAGTAACATCTCTTTACTACAATACCTCGGTCTCCACTGGGAATGCGTGAGCCATTTACGCAAAACTAAAGCAGGGTGTGTGCTTTCATGTTCACATTTTTTGCTTCGTCATTCGCTTTTCGGCTTTTTGATTGGATGCCGCAATCGTATGGTATGCCGAGCGACAATACATCACGAAAAAGGTGACTTGTTTCTTATAATTGCGGTAAAAGCAACGACGTCCTGCACACTGAAACCAGCTCTCGATATAAAAAAAAAAAGTTCGACAGAGAAACTTAAGATTGCCTACGTGTAGGAATACGAAAGCATTCCTACACGTCGGCTTCCGTGACGATGCATCTGCGTTGCTGTGTTTCTCTTCGTATTTTATTTCTGAGGCGCATTCGCTTTGACCTTGAGCGGCCTATCTAGTTGCCGTTTCGCTGCTACAGACAACGCCCAGCCAATGGGAATTTAGCTGTCGTTTTTCGCCGGTTTCACTGGCTTCGCTCCATGAGACAGTTCATGCTTTCGCGTTAAAAGGGAGGAGCGTTTTGTGCGTCTAATGGACGCGGGCTCACTCAGATTGTCGTCCCCTCGCCATAGAAATTCGGCCTTGTGGTTCACGCGCCTCCAGTCGTGATCCAGATAGTGGACACGACCCAGGAGGAGGCCGTCGAACTCCATCTGAAAAGGAGAGACAAGAAAACGCCACTGAAAAGCTCGGAACAGAACTATATTAATTATAGAAGAATCAAACAAACAAATTGGATGTCGGTAACGTTTATTAATAGTGAGGGTTTGATCAGCCTTTGAACTGTGGCGTCACTGTCGGAACACGGAAATGGGTGAAAGACTAGTTGGAAAGGGTGGACGCCCTCTTTCCTCTTTGGAAGTCCCCGATGGCGGTCATGATAGTGTATTTCATTGGACACTTTCGTGAGTCAATGGCAGATGAAAAAGGTCAGCTTCCAAGCCTTCACCTGGCGAATCCGCCGAATTCGACACACTCCAGGAGGCGCTGCGGTATTAAAAAAAAAAAAGCACTGCCTACAACAAAAAAAAACAAAAAATAAAAAGAACGCTCTATATGTTTTTTTTTTGTTTTTTTTTTTGTAAGCTGGGTGAGGACATTTTATCCACATTTGCAAGCAGCCACGCTTCAATATCTATGTAGTCAGGCCACCGAAAGTTAAAACGCTTTATTGGGGTACCAGTCCGGCAAACCTGAGAACGCCTTGACAAGGCTTGACTATCGGACAATCTATGCGCACACCAGCGGGAAGATGGCAGCATCTAAAAACCCTCATCTGGTCTTTGAAACGCGTCTGCGATCGGGGGTGTATTTTTCCGCGTCCCTATTTGAGGTTCCTCGATTTCCACCTCGTGACGTCATATATGTGTCACGCTGTTGCATTCCGCGATCCTGGCGGTAGCATGGCAGCGGATGTCAGGGCGGCAGACGTCTGTTCCGCGTATTTCAGGTGAAGGCTTCACTCACTGCTTCGGAAGCCACCAGTTGAGGCGCCGCACAAACACGCGTTTGCAAACCCTTGTTGGGGTGAACTTCCGTAACCAACCGCCAGGATCGCGACGTTCGACGGCGCGACAAGCCAGCTGCCGTGACGTCATGTGCTTGGGGGCCACTTTCGATGCACGGGAGGCCCAAAACGCTAACCACAACAGTTGTGCACGCGCTCCAGGCACCCTATGCGGAGTGCATGTCGTCTGCTTCTTGCGTAGGTGTTGTGTTTACGTCAGAACAGCGCCAAGTTTAATTGGCTTTGATTGAAAGGATAGTCGGTATACTTCAGTGTTAGATGCCTTGATGTTTACCCACTATTTTGTTTTTTAATCAGACAATAAGAGCTAGGCGTCCTTATATCATCGCAAAAAGCAGACGATGCTCTTGTTCGCTCTTGTTGGAGGGAGACGGCGGGGAGACAAAGGCCGCTAGCCTTTCCCTCTACCCACTAATCCTTCCAATCAGAGCTCGATGCTCCGACGTGACTGCGCGCATTCATCTCCTCCTCTCTCTTAGTTTCTCTCCGTATGGTTTGCGGCGTGGACCGACCTGGCCGAACAGGGCCGCCTGCTCCTTGGAGTGTCCAAAGGGGTCCAGCTGCCAGACGGCCCTGGGCAGAGCGCAGGGTCCGAAGGTGGCGTTGATCCAGCGGTGGCCCAGCGTCATCTGGTCCACCACGTCCGTGTATAAGGTGCTGGCTTCGTCGTTCATCACCCAGCCGCCGCTGGCCAGCTCCAGTCGCCCTGCGGAACACTTGGTCCCTCACAAAGCGTCAGCGCTCCGCCGCATGCTATACTTACTACCGGCGACATTTTGATAGTCAGTCATTTGCCTCAAAATTGGTTGGACACATTAATATACACATATAAACTAAGCATGTAAACTAACACTTTTAGAGCACTTTGGACGACCCGCAAAAATCGGTTTCTCAACGTATCGCGCTGTAAGTTACTACAGAAATGAAAGTAGGTAGTCAAAGTTGACAGTGAAAAAAAAAAAAAAAAATTTCCTAGTTTAAAATAAGAAAAAAAATGTTCTGGGCAAACTACACCGCCACTTCGCGGACGATTTACGCGTAGTGAGAAATGCTGCCGACAGGTGGTGTACGCCGCGTCGAGGAAGCACCGGTCGATTCGGGTTCTTTTCCGGGACCGTCTGCTATCGTAACCCGATTCGGCCGGCGCTCCCTCCAGGCGGCGTGCGCCATCTGTCGGCAGAGGCTAAGAGTCTTTACTGGCAACGCTGACAATGTGACGTAATTTTAAGTAATATGGAGCCATATGGAGGCAGTGCAGCTTGTTCGTGACAGGTTACAAAATGTTCCATGTGGTAAAATGAACGCATAATTAAGGTTATGCCAGCAAAACAAAATAAAAAGAGGCACGCGACTAACGCCGTGCTTTTTAGACTGCCTGCTCAAGTTGCAAGTCCTACAACATGTGACGTCGTCTCAGTGTAGCAAGAATTGATGACGACCTGGGCCGATTAGCTGTGGAATGCGGGTATCTCTCCCGGCAGTTTAGACAGCCGCAAGATGGATCTTGCTGTCACGCATAGGCGTGCGCAGGATTTTTCATTAGGGGGGGGGGGGGGGGGGGGGGGCGAGGTTTCCCCAGAGCGCCCCCCCCCCCCTTTCTATCAACGCACTCTCACTGATGTCCTTCCGCTCATATTGTAGTGCTGAGAGGAGATATGCTTATGAAACGTTTATTTCAACAATATTGAATTGTAACATATACAAAATATTATTAAGCAGTAGGTTTCACTTCCTGGTGAAACGTCCGCAAAGAAAGGCAGTCCCTGCGCAGCTGAGGCGTCAGTGACACAACGCGCCAACAAAGAATTTTTATTCTTTCTAAACCAGAGAAAGATACGACACATATGCCATATTTGACAGCACAGAATATTTAGAAATATTGCCTCAACGTGACTCGGCTAGTATGGAAAATATAGTATACATACAGGGCAAATGCATGGGTGCACCTACAGATGGCGAAAGTTTTCATATGGCGTCTGCAACGTTCATGCAGAGGACGAAAACCGCCACCCAATACACAACGTAATGGCAACGCTTAAAAGCACGAGACTATACCGCAGATTAAAAATACGACAAACAGCAAGTTACAATATTTAGTAAGTATTGAAGATAAACGCTATGACATGCCATTTTTTTTTTCTTCTGAGCATCCAAGTGTACAGTTCATAATCTTACTTTCTGGCGCTTGATAGAAACATGTAATAGAACAAGATAACACGCACGCATTATGTCATGCTCAACAAACATTATACAAACTAATGAATATGTTCTGTGGTGGTAAAAATATTTTATGACTAGATTACTAAAAATGTGTAGCACGTGGGAGATATAGTATACTTTTCACCAATCGTGAAAAGTCTAAAGCAAAATTCTACGCGATTTTGTCGCGAACTGTTTGATGACTGACTGCGTCAGGCGTATTTTTATGGTTGTTTTTTTTTTCGTTGCGCGCACTAGCGGGAGGGAACTTTGGCGTCGGGCGCCGTCGCGCCTCGAGTCGGGCCAACTTTGCGCCCCCCCCCCCCCCCCCCCCCCTAGATGATTAGAGGGGGGCGGCCGCCCCCCCTGGCCCCCCATTGCGCACGCCTAGGCTGTCATGTGACCTGACTCCGTGGGAATAAGTAACTAAAAAGTACCTAGCGTTTCAAAAAAATTACTGCCGTAAGGGGAAGCTGAAGAGGGTTTCTAGGAAAACGAGTTAGAGAGGTGAATGCTACTGTTTTTATCCCGTGAATATGAAGATCACCTCCGTTTTCTCCGAAGATGTAACTAAACGCGAGAAAATACGAAAAACCTTTCGACCAGTCGTTATGTCACACCCACATGTTTCTGCCACTAAGTGCGTTTCGCTTGTGTGGGTAGCGAGCTTGCCAGGTATTGCGAGCTTGCCAGGTATATTTCTCCGCACTGACACCAGTCGTGACGTCTTTTTGTTTAACCCTTTTGAAGATACCAAGAGTGTGCGTGGATAGCTTTAATAAGCGCTGAAGATGCGCGGAAGCGGCCATTCTGAAAACTTTGCAGCCCTTGCGCACAAAGTTGAAAACAATAATCTCGATGTTCGTGATCCTGGAATCCAAATAAAATCAATTTATGTTTGTTTTTTTTAAATACGGAACTGCTTTAGTTTTTCTTTAAGATGAACCTTACCTTCGTTGATGTACTTGCGGACGATGATCTTAAACACCTCGTTGGTCTCCTCAAACCATTTCTTGAAGAAAGCCATCTCTGTCACGGTGAACAGGCGGTACCTATTTTTCATCAGCTCTCCGCAGACGGACTCCAGAATATCCTTCGCAACTGCAAAACGGGGACCACACTGTTTTGCGCACGTTTTGAGAGTTCGTATAAGTACTGTATTCTCCTGTCTATAAATCGCGCTTCTGTATGCCGTAATATTCCGAGAGATAGCCCACCCGATAGCGAGAACAAATAGGGTGAAAATGAGGAGCATGCCAACGATGTAAAAATGTTTAAAAAATTGAATCTTTTGTATTCCGTGACTCGCTAAACTTGTTTTCACATTAAGTGGCAATGGAGCGTAGACAACGGTCTTTTCCCATCAGTAATGTTTGCTTATCTTCCCGCCATATCTAACTAACCCCATTTCGGCGGAGGTCACCATTGGCCATGGGGTACTGCAATTACTAAAAACAAACTATATTTCCGTGTTGCTTTTTTTTTTTTTTGCGATGATATAAATGTGTAAAAAGGGGGTGCTTTGTTTTTCGTTGGTGGATCACCTTTCGGGATATTATGGTATGTTGCATGCCAGCCTATAAGAATCCGTCTTCACAAAAGAAAAACAAAAAACAAAACAAAAGCTGGTATTTATTAGACTAGGTGGCGCAAGCTGCCGCCCGTTACAAAGGGTATGGCCATTACCATCCATCCATCCATTCATAAGTCACACTTACATATTTGTAAGTAAGCATCGAACAACATCGGCGATCGCCAATGTTGCTCGATGTACTTTTGAAGAAGGGATTGAACTGGTGCAACGCGGGACGGAATACCCGTGTGAAAGATTCCACGAGTGCGCCCCCTCATGTAAGTTACGCGATACTAGACAGAGCGCATAATAAAAAAAATGAATAAGATCCGCATAGCGAACACGAAACGACCAATAAGACACTCACGCAGGTAGTTTTCTTGAAAGCGCCTCGTCCAGCCGATGTCAAGGTGCGTGTGAGCGACGAAGTGGAGGTTGGTCACTCCGGGCCGCGGCTTTGGACACATCTACATAGAACGAGGCACTCGTTCTGAAGTCGAAAACAAAAATAAGCGGCACAGCGGCAAGGCTCTTAAAAGTATTCGCCTTCCTTCCAGCGCTCGCTAATACTACCATGCGGCGAGAAAGAGTACTAAATAGTATACGTCTTTGGCACATCGGTAGAAATCAAAGAGCTCGGCATGCGCCAATCAGAGGGCGACCTAGAGGACGCGTAGAGATCGGTCAATGATTGGGCAGTCATTCATTGGTCCAGGTTGAGGGAAAACAAACGCACGTACGCTCGAAAAAATCCCGTGCGTCTACTTTCCCGCACAACACTTGGAGAGTCAATCAGCGCAACTTACGGAAGCAGCTCAGCGAATGACGATGCCAAACATATGTTTAGACCAAAAGACGCAGTCTGAGTTGTGACATTAAGCAATGCAAGCGTGACGTTTTGCATTGCTTAATGTCACAACTCAGACTGCGTTTTTTGGTCTAAACATATGTTTCGGCATCGTCATTCGCTGAGCTGTCTCCATAGGTTGCGGTGATTGGCTCTCCGAGTGTTGTGCGGGAAAGTAGACGCACGGGATTTCTCTTTAGAGTGTAGGCGCATTTGGACCGGGGGGGGGGGGGGGGGGGGGGGGAAGGGGAAGGGGGGGGGGGGGTGAAAGAAACGCCCGATGTCCGAAAGGAGCAGGCAAACTTGCCCGCCGTGTAGTCCCCAATAGCGGTAATAAACGTAGGGTGTGGCGTGTACCAAGCACAATCTTATCGTGTCGCAGCCAATCAGGTTGTGGTATTAGCCAATAAGAACGTCAAAGAAACAATCACGAATTAGGATTAAGCGTGATCATTAAGCCACGCCCAGTGCTTCTGAAATTGTTTTGTTTTTTTAACAAATTGATAGGGTAATTTCGCAGATAGGTGCGAGATTGTATGATACCTATATTGCAGTAGGAATGGGAAAGAATATGGGGCTTCACACGAGTCAGGAATTACGAAGACAAATGTTTTTTTTTTTCTTTCTTCTATATTACCTAAGCCTATAGGTTTTCGTTCAAACATCGAATGACACAGGGGCCCGACACTGCGAAATTTATTTTGCCAAAGTGGTATAAAATATAACTCAGCTTTGTTTTTCTATATACCCCCTTCCACCCATTCTTCTCTTCACAGTGAGCATGGTAAAACGTCATGCACAATGCCACAGCTCAGACTTAAACAATCGGAAGGAATAAACACAAATTCGGGACGAAAACAGACGCATACAAGAGTTGTATGCGTCTGTTTTCGTCCCGAATTTTTGTTTATTCTTTCCGATTGTTTAAGTATATTTACCAACACGCTCGTTTTAATGTTAGCCCAGACTTTTTTTATCTTTGAACTGTAATTTGCTAAGTTGCCTCTGTAAATCGCAAAAAAAATATATATATATTTTGTGCTTTGCGGAAAAGCAGACACGGCTAACTTCTTAGACTGCCGATTTATGAACGCCACCACGGTCCACAATGCTATTTGTTTATTTGAATATCTTTCATTTCCGGTTCCGAACTGGTTTTCTATTTTGTTTTCTTACCTCAAAAGTGCAGTGGGGCTTTGGACCCCGGGTTTTGGCATACAGGGTGTCCACGTCATCTTGAGGGGACGACACCACGCGTGTTGCGACGCATGCCAGAAACTGTACCACGTGGCCGAACCTCATTCTCTCGGCGGCTTTGACCTGAATGCGATAAGATAATAATAAAAAAAAAACATCCGTTAAAATTAAAATAATACGTATCTTCTCTGCCAACGGATTTTTGCAAAAATCGTTATGAAGTTATACACTCTAAAAATGTATGCAAGTTCACATCCCTGGACAACACTGAGACAGCCGATCACGGTGAACAATAGAAGAATGCCAGCGAATGACGGAACTGCGATTGCGAGGAAAGCTTAAAAATGCAAGTTAGCGCAGGGACAATGAGAAAGTATAATGCCACGTCATTCACTATACTCGGCATCGATTCCTTCGTGCTACATTGTCAAGGGTAGCCTAGCATCCGTAGTGAATAGCTCCCACTCTGTCAAAGCTATTCTCGGCGTCAACTATTTTACGCTGCGTCACCATGGCTAGCGTAGCTCCCACAGGAATCCAACTTTGTCAAAGCTAAACCTCGTTTCAGCTGTAGTCCAGATGCAAACGACGCTACACAGGTCACTAGGACTTTCTTGCCTAAAATTGGTTCAGCGATGACAAAACAGGTGCAGGAACATGACGGACGCCATGATGGTGGGCTTTTGACACTGATTGTTCCCCTCAACCCGTAGCGTGGGCCGCGTCTGCACTTAAAAGCCGGTTCTCACATGCAGCGAAGCCCTGATGCAGCGAATCCCGGAGAAAAGCTCACCGGAGAAAAGCTCACCGGAGAAAGGCTCACCGGAGAAAGGCTCACCGGAGATAAGCTCACCGGAGATAAGCTCACCGCAAAACCGGCGGATGCGGAGAATAGCTCACCGATTTTTTTCTTCTTTTTACATGGAGGCTGTTGAATCATGCGTAACATATAACAATTTATTATCATCAAAATTCGTCAGCTTTGCAAAAAAGAAAATGTATTTTTTTGAATTATTTGTTCATCTTATTGGGTATATGGCCCCCAAATTAATAATTGCGGGCGAGTGTTTTCTGTGGCTTACTCTCTATAGAGAGTAAGCCACAAAGAGTAAGCCAACGAAAGCCGAACTGAAAACTTTCTGAACTTCAAGAGCAATAAAAAGTTTGAAAACTTAATGATGTCTGCCTAAAACCTAAACACCAAAACTGTAAATGCCGAAAATCCGAAAGTGTATGAGCAAGAACGCAATGCCTGAAATTCTCTTTGAAGCTTTTGATAACCTTTGAAAACAGGATAAAACAGTCAGTAGGATATCGAGGCTTCTTTCTTCCACGGACATGCCCTTTTTCCAGCCGTTCGTGCTGGTGTTTTCTCACGTTGTCTTTTTGTAATAGTGCCCTTCTACGGTGAGCCACCCATGACCTTCAGAGCTGCACACTGACAGCTTTGTTCCTTGCGACCTATATAGGAACTAGTCTTCTGTAAGGTAGCGAATAGAGCGAGTTGGTAAACGTTATACATGATGAAAACGGCTCAAACGACGACGAGGGAGTGAAGACAACAAACGCGACAGGACGAAGCTGTTTTCGCAACTAAAGTTTTGTTAGTGAAATTAACAAAAAGAGAAAAGTGTAGGCGACACTGACTACATCAACAAATACCTACTTAACCATTAGGCACTACAGAATATTTGGAGCTGAAACGGTTCACACACGGCTAGGCCATCCTCTCGACGTCAGCCTCGCCGTAGCTTTACTCGTCCTGAGACGACCTTCGTCACGATTGCGTTGGATGTTACGTGGTCTCCGCTGGGCCTTCTCCGAGCGCTTGCCAGAGTGAGCCGTTTATAACGAAAAATACAGCCACCAGGCTCAAAATACAAACGTGCGATTGTCATTTACAAATATTGTGGATCATATTCAACCTATTTTTGAACACGACGGATATATTCCAAATTTCGTTGAAGTATCCCTTTAATGGGTAGACATAAAGCTATAGTTGCCTACCTCTACTCACACATCGAACTCGCTGCACTGGCAAACGCCGTGGTCCAGCGTTCCGCGTTCAAACGCGTTCTTGAAATAAAAAAAAAAAAAAAAAAAAAAAAAAAAAACAGCTATGTAGAGATTGGGTTAACTAGAGCCACTAGGGTTAACCATGCATGTTTGTATGTTTGAAAAACGATTATCTTTGCTCGGATCATCTTGCATGTTCTCTTTTTCAAAACTGCAAACGGCAGCATAGGTTTGTGGACTAGTGGTTACCGACTTCAGTTATGTGACAACGTTTGAAATATTCTGCATAAACGGAACTTGGGATGAACTTGCGTCCTGAACCCGGCGATACCTTCATGTTATTAGTTTCAGACGCTTCGCTACGATTCGGGAAAATAAAGTTACCTGGATGTATCTATTGGTCGTCTAGAATATGGAATTCTAGAATCCCATAGTTCCGACAGCGATTCGTCGCACAGTTTTTTCCTGCGACAGTGCATGGAAATCCGCGAGCTCGCGCCACCGCTGCTTATGGACGAGATCGTCCGGAGGGACCGAATCGCCAGAAACTGCCGCGTTTCCCGTTTCACCTGCCAGTCCGTCGTTTGTATATTGCATCAGATGGTAACAGAAGTTAACCTGCAAGGATAAAAAAAAAGGTGATGCCACTCACCACTCTCTTTGCGTTCGGCGATGGAGCGTTGCGTGGACCTGAACACCGCGTACACGAGCTCCGCGGGGGGCGCGTGGGTAATGCGAAACAGGAAACACGGCACGTCCGGCCCCCGATCTCGGGTTTCTCCCGCAGGGGAGTCTCATGTAAAAAGCCCAGCGTTGTCCACCGCCTTGTCCGGGGAGGCAGGATGAATGTCGCGCGTGCGCACTCGCTGCTTTGACGGTGGTCAGTCCACGGTCGACTCGAGCGCGGGTGAGGACATCGTTTCCACCAACGCGCTGAGTTTACACATACGAGTCCGCGTTTGCCCACACCAGATATGGGCACTGAGCATGCGCAGAAACCAATATTCGGTAGAAGGGAAGCGTCCGCGTACGCCCAGTGCCGACGACAGCGCCACCGCAGTGGGGTGACGTCCGAGGGTAACCGCCCCACTGAAAATGTCAGCCTATCGACGATAAATGTGTCTATAGAAGTGACGCTGTTCGGTACTTACGTTTCTTGGAAGTTATGAACCGTTTGACATTGTTTTCGATCGAACAAAGACCACTACGAAAGCTCCAACGCGTCGCGTCGGTCCGGTCTCTAATCGCCGTCTGCTTCTTTCCCGGGTTAACGGTCTCCGTTTTAACGTTTCTCTCTCTCTCTCTCTGTAAGGAAATAAAAAAAAAGGAAAAGGCATAGGTAACGGTGTTGACATTTCTCAGCACATGAGCAACTGAAATTATGCGTAATAGGCCAAAATTCCCCAA